CAGGACTCCCGGCTGGTTTTCTAGAGGGGCAGATCTCTTATAATGACTTTTAAATAAACAACAATTTCTCTCTCTCTCTGTTTTAAAGAGGGCTGTTGTGTCCCCTGAACACCTTCCGCTTTCCCTCTGCCATGGTGACTGTGACAAGATCAGCTGGCTTCCAGAAGGCAAAGTATTCAGTAATGTTCAAAGAGAAAAGATCATCTCCAAGTTTCTTAAAGAAAGTGTCCTAAAGAGAGTGTTCCAGTCAAAGCAAATGAAGTGGGAGGGTTCCCACTACCAGAAAGAGGAGCCAAGCTACTCCTTTCCTGGCACCAGAAAGTAAGTTCTGATTCTGAAACTTAAATCAAAATTCAAAGTAAATTCATAATGCAAGGTTGTGAAACACAATTACAGAGGTAGGCATTTGAAGGACTAGAAGAATTTTTAAACAGTTTAAACTGTAGAAGTCAAGTCTCTCAGAAAGATCTAAATAAAGGTGGGAATATACTTGAGAATTTATTCAAAAGTACTAATGAAAACATAGGCAGATGTAGAATTTACGGATGTGTCTATCTCACTTTTGGAACTATATTCATATACATCACTATCACATTCATTCTAGGAATAAAGAAAACAAAATTTCCTCTATTTTTGCAATAGAATGGTGGTCTCTCAAATAAGGGAACATAGTAATAAAGGTTATTTTTTCAAACAAGAACAAAACTTTTAACAAAATATTTCATGTTCCTAAACAAGGAATTATACAAACATGAGAAAGTTAGACTAGTTAAGGCAAATTCTCATTAGAAATGGAGGCCTGAATCGAGGATACATAGAACTGGCCATGTCAGAAAGACAAAGCAGAAAAGGGAATAAAAGACAAGTTAGCTAAAGCAGCCACTAAATTCAAACTGCTCATAATTGAGTTGACATATTCCCCACTGATTTAGCATCCATTGGAGAACAAAAATGCATCTTATTAACTAGAAAATAATTATCTCACTTACTGAAAATATACACATAATTTCTGAACAGAATTCTATGTCCAGCCGTGACCTCGGCAATAATGTAGGGAAGAATAAAAGGAGGTGGAGGCCAATGCACAGGCAATGTAAAAATGAGAGAGGTATTGAAAGAGACAGACTGAACCAGAAGAAGCCTCTCTCCACCAAAGTAAATAGAAACTAAACAATGTTGTCACTGACATTTCTTTGCATAACTCTGGACTATGAAAAAAATGTATATCAAAGCACTTTCCAAAATAGTTAACTGGTGTCAATATGTCACCTTTGTCACATTAGGAGAAACTGAGCTGGGCAGCAAGGCATGCTTACCTACTAAGTGCTTGGCCCAAGGCTTTCTTCTTTTCCACCAATTCAGACTACCTTTGTTATAATTAATCCAAGAGCTTGTTAAACGACATGAGACAGAGAGAGAACATTGGCCTTGCCCTACTCCACTGGATTAGGTAAAAAGGTACAGGTTCAAAGTAAGACAAGCCTGAGGCCTACCAGTATAAAGTGAATTCAGAGTGCCTTGGGATGACCTAGAAGGATGGTGTGGTCTTTGGGGCCAACAATTGCTGCCAACAGAAAACACCCTACTGTCCAGCTAACCCATCACTCTCAAGGCTGGACTTGAGCCAAACCAGACTCGAGGGTTTGGAGAGAACATCATTCTCCTAGTTCTTGCCCTTATATCTCACAGGACCACATTTCACATTTAGTTCATCTCTCTCTTAGTCTTGTCTCCTTACCACTTAGCATGGGTGCTCCCTGGTAAATACTGTACAAGGACTATCCTGTCACTATAGTTTTAATAGTAATAGTAAAAACTTTATCAATTCAACAAGTGAGTGGGTCCATGCTTTCGATGCTAGTGTCAAAGTGTTCGAAAAGTCTCCAGAGAAAGGAAGAGAAGGCAAGTGGAGATAAAAGGAAAGGAAGGTTTTAGAAATATGCCTGTCAAGGCGGAAAAAGGAATCTTAGCGGATGTTTTAATAAATTACAAATCTCAGAGGGACCTTAAGTAATCAAGAATCGGCTCAAGTTCTGAAACAAAAGAAGAAAGCGGAAACAGAATCATAAAGCAAGAAAGATGGGGACATGTGTGAAATGTATACGTGTACACATACATTCGTGTCTCCTAACCAGAGAACAGGACAAAAATTCCCAGCTGATATATTTGTAGAAAGTATGAGCTGGAAATTCATGGACCCTAATATTTACCCAATTCACTGTTCTTGTCTTGCAAGTTGGGAAAAGTTATTTAACATTTTTAAGTCTCTGTTTATTCATTTATAAAATAGGAATACCAATTTCATTGTATGGTTGAGAGTATTAAATCAGTTAATTGGTATAAAAGGTTCACTTATAACTGGCACATAGTCACCACACCATACATTCTGGCAAATGTTGTTGTTTTAGTAAATTAATTCAAATATTTATTGAGTGCTTAGTATAGGCCAGCACACTGTTAGATAGAATAAGACCAGGTCTTGCCTTAAGGCGTTGAAAAGAAAATGAGTAAGATATTAAAAATGAATAAGTATAACAGTGAGTAAGGAATTATAAATAAATAATTATAATATAATCCAAAATAGGGTTATTAAAAGAGGTAGCAATTTATTCTTCCTGAGGGTTCAGGGAAGATGATTTGTGAGCTAGATCTATATAAACAGGACTTAGGCAGATAAAAGGAGGGAGGAGATTAAAAGAAAAAGAGGAGCAACTATAGAAAAAGTAAACATAACGTATGTACTGAAGGAGAGTACTTAGGAAAACTGCAAAATGACTGATGCGTTTGACCCAGCATAGGCACTGGGAAGGTGATGCAAAGACGCTGAAATCCTGGCTACCAAATGTGAACTTTATTCTTTAGACATTAGGAGGGTATTTGTTTTAGATCATTGGTATGGAAAACAGTGTGAAGGAGGAGAGTGCTTAGGTGGGAGATGCCCGAAGAGGCATTGTTTGATCTTATCATTATTCTCCTATATTTATTGTGTTTCTACTATGTACCCAAGCAGTTTAAAGTTATCAGAATTCAGCAATGAACTAGACAGACAAGGTCCCTGCTCTCACAGAAAGTTACGTTCTACTGGGAAGACAGACAATTTAATCAGTGAAGACTAACAAGATTGTGAGGAGTGCAGACAAGAGATAAAAAAAACAGGGTGTTATGAAATAGAATAATGTGGGTGGGAAGGGCTTTTTAAAAATGAAGTCAGGAAAGGCCTTCTGAAAGGAAAATAAAAGTGCAGAGGAAGGAGACAAACACCTCGTGGGGAAAGGTGGATATGGTAGTCTAATATCCGAGAAACCCTTGAAATCGTGTTCACCATGTGGTATATACTCTGAAGTGGATTTTCCTGGGACGATATCCAAAGGAGCATGCGACCCCTTCCCCCTAAATGTTAAACCAGCATTTAGATGCTTAACAAAAACATTTCGGGGATTGAATCTAGAGCTGGCGTTCAACCCAACAGAATGCAACAGTTTCCTTCAGCAAAGGATTGAAAAAAATTCCTCAAATGTCAATGCTTTATTTTACCTGCATCTGGCATTTTTAGCATTTACGTATGTATACAAATATATGGCAGCCACAAATGTGTAAATACTTACGTATTTACTTACATATAACGATACACCCCCGATACACTTCCCGCGGTGCGGAGCCCCTGCCCTCCGGCGAACGCCCAGCCACTGTGGCCCAGGTGTGGGGACGCCCCGAGGAAGCCCAGAGGGGCGCATCCGTGGGGACGCGGGGCCCGGCGCCCTCCCTGGGCAGCGTCGCCCATTCTGCCGGGCTGGCTGCCTGGCGCCCTTAAGATGCCCCTGGCCCGGGCGGCCGCCCCAGGGACACCGTGGGCCCGATGGAACGCGGGGCCATGGAGGGTGCCCACGCTCCACGGTGGTTGCCGGGCGACCGGCCGCGGTGAAAGCCAGCCCGCGAGCCTCACAGGCTGTCCACCGCCGCCGCTGCCCGCCCTGTCCTCCCGCTGCAGGAAGGCCGGGCCGGAGGAGGCGCCAGTGCAGCCGCCCGCCCTGCTCGCCGAGGGGCCCGGCCCTCGGGGCCCCAGCGCGCCCGGAGACGCCGCCGCGGAGGGCGCGTGGGCCGGCGACGCCGCCGCGGGGTAAGAGGAGCGCGCCCCCTGCCGGCCCGGCCCCGCTCTCCCCGCGGAGCCGTGCACAGCTGGGGAGGGAGGGGCGTCCCCGTCCGGCTCTGCACCGCCAGTGGCACCTTTCTGCAGACACCCACCTCCCCGCTCCCGGCCCCAGAGCTGCTTCCCCGACTCCCAGTCACAAAGGCCGCGGCTCCGGGCCTTTCCCTCAGGTGCGGTGGCCTGTTCCAGGCGCCCAGCGCACTCCTCCAGGGCACTCGCCTAGCTGGCCCCAGGCGGCAGCTTCTTCCTCCACCCCAGCGCCTGGCATAGAGCAGGCGGGTCACTGCCCACTGATTAAAAACTTGCCTGGACTGTGTTTTCCATTTCTTCAGGATACACCTTCCCCTCTGGGAGACAGTAAACTGGTGCGGAAAGTAGTGTTCGATCCTCTGGACCTTGTAGCGTCTCTGAAACGTTCACGGGGCCCTTGCCCTGCCAGTCTGTGGGTTGATCCTGTTTTCAGATGGAGCGCCTGTTTTGAGTGATTAAAAGCAGAGTTTGTGACCCTGCTTTATAGGTTCCAGATAATTCTCCATATTTTTCTAATCTGCATTTTATTTTCCTATCTGATACTATCTCCTTCGTCACCTTAGACCTTAATTTCCTAACCTTCTGTCAGCTAGATCTATGTGCCGTTGTCTATGCCCCACCTACTTTTTTTTTTTGGTCTGGATTGCCCCTTGATTTTGGTTGATTTTACATCGTTACCCCCACCCTACCCTCATAGTCCCTTTCTTCTGCTTTCCAAATATTTTTTATACCTCCTTTAGATGGGAAGCCAAAGTTCATGCTTTTTAAAAATCATTGTTGTATCTTACCCATAAATGTGTCTGTTCCACAACCTGTATAGGATTTTAAGGAAACAAACCAGCAAAATGGGGAGAAGAAATGGTGAGAACTTCAGCACCAACCTGCGTGTGTCAAACATCTCTCATGAGGTATGGCAGATGCTACTGGCCTTGGATGTTTGGGCCGCAGCTCCCGTTGGTTAAGATCTAAACCCCATTGAATCGTATTGCTGAGACCCCTTGTTGATGTCTTTCTGTGAGCAGTTTGTCCTGAGTTTTCCTCTTGGCACATTTGGAATATCAAATGGAAAATTTTTATTTCTTGTAACAAAGGCAAAATTAACTAGCTTCTCTCCAAATTTTGGGATGTTTCTAATTACGATTGGATTTTGTTTTATTTTCTCACACATATTTTGTGGAAAATATTGGTAAAGCAGGTGGGATGTCAAAAAGAATGACCAACTAGCAACCTGTAAGGAGTTTGCACTCTAGTTGGCTTCATGTGTGGCTGGCTGATGACTTTCTTTACCAGTTGACAAACTTAGTAACATTAATTTGATTGCATGATCTCAACAGCACAGTTCATCAGTTTCCCTGGACCATGTGAATTTAAGCATAGTTTTCACATGTTATTTTGCACATAAGTGTACCAGGGTTACAGACATAGCTGAAAGGAGCTCAAGAATGTCGGGGACATTTTAAAAATACAAATAACTGGGCCGTGTCTTCATCCTACTGAATGAGAGTTCAGAGTATTATTTTTAAAAAGCTCCTCAGGTAAGTCTTACATAGAGACTACACCTAAAACATATCATTTCAGAGCAGAGAATAATTAACTAATTTTATTTTTCAGATACTACCAGAGAAAGAAAATCTACAGCCTACCTTCCAAGGTTCAACTCTCCTTCCTATCAGGAGATGATCCTTGTGGATCAGTTAAATCTTTGTTCTATATGTGGGATTATGTCCCCCTGTTCCTCCTTAGTGTGGAGATGACACCTAATGCTACCTGACATTTTATTTGTGCATTGCTTAGAGTTTAATTTACAAAGGATTTCCTCATTTGAGATAGAATACAACTGAGTTTGTTCCTTAAAAACTTGCTTTTAAAAAATTAACTAATCACCTCTTCGTGTTTTCTTTTCCAGGATAAATGATTACAATACTCTCTTCCACACTGCACACTTTTACCAATAGCACTCAGTATAATGTCTGGAATATAAATACTCAATCAATGCTGGTGCATCTTCTGACTCATTTTTTGACTTTTGAGTACTTCCTGAGTGTTTCTCAACAACTGTAGTCCAGAATGAGTAGTGAGCTGTTCAGTGTTGAGTATAATGTAAAGATTAGAGAATTTTCTTTGGTCGATGGAAAGATTAGATAGGCTTTCAGATCTGGTACTCAGATATAGAAGATTTGGTGAATTTGCCATTATGTACCTGAGATACAATGAAGTGGACATTTTATTATATTTTTAACTCAATTCTGAAAACTGATGTGCCATTATTTTTAACAAAATGAGAGCAAAACCATAAATTATTGTAAAAGCCTTTCCATTTCCTGACTAATAATTGTAATCAAGCTGATAATAGCTGGTAGTACCCTTATTGGTGGTGGGGGAGACTCATGAAGCCTTGTGCCTTTTTTTTACACTTTACCCAAAGGACATGTAAAATTATGTACTTAAGCTTTTAAAGTTTTAACGTTAACTTTATCCTAAAACAAATATTGTTTTAGAATTTATCTCACTGGAATTTGGATTCAGAAGTACCTGATCCTGAAAATAAAAACCTCCCACCTGGAAGGGATAGTGCAGCAGGTGGTAAGAAATCCTAGATGTGTGTATTTATACTTATATTTGTAAATATATGAAAAGTTATATTCACTTGTATAATATGAATAACCATTCATATTAAAGGGGGTTTGTTTTTAGTATAACTAGCTTTATGTAACTATTAATTATTATTTTTATATACATTCTTTCAGGCAAAAGTAACAAGGTAAGGATAAATGTTTGGCTTTAATAATTCACAAAACATTATTTTGCAATTATTTGTATGTTCTTTTAAAAAATCTTTCCTCAAAGTTGAACTTTATATTTCATTTCTGTAGAGTTCTTTAATCAAGAGAAAGCCATTAGTTTTTTTTTACAAGACTGCAAATTGATCATTAAATTAATATTTTATTATGTTGGTTTTTTTCTGCATTTATTCCCCCACCCCTCCCACCCCAGCCATTCCCACCTTCCCCCACCTGATTCCCCCCCCCCACCAGCTTGGTTTTGTCTATGTGTCCTTTAGTTTTTTCCTTTTTTTTAATCCTCACCCAGGGATATTTTTTCATTGCTTTCTAAAAACAGGAAGGGAGAGAGAAAGAGAGAAACATCAGTGTGAGAGAGAAGCATCAATGGTTGCCTTCTTATATGCACCCCAACAGGTATCAAACCTGAAACCTGGCTGTGCCCTGAGCAGGAATTGAACAGGCAACATTTTGGTACAAAGCTCCAATTAACTGAGTCACTCCAGCCAGGGATATGTTAAATTTTTTCAATATACAATTCTATAAATGGAAATTAACTTTATAGTGAATATAGTATTTTCTAGTCATTGCCAAAAGGAAAATGGTCTCAGCCATTAGGTATCTTAAAGCAGTTGAAATGGTTAATATATTGTTTCGAAGTAGTGAGAAAATAAATTTTTCATTTACTTTTTTGGATCAAAATATAAAACACTCAACTGTTAGTTAAATATGATCATCTTAATATTCAAGGCTCATAGTTAACACTGTGTAGTTAGTACTTATAAGATTATACTAATTCTTGCTGATGTCAGTAAAAACAAATGATAAAGGAGTATTACAGGATTTTACTATATATTTCTTAGATGAAACTATATATTCCTTAGTTACAACAACTATATAGTCTTAGAACAGGAGTGGGGAACAGAGATATATTGTGTTTAAAAGTCTTCTGCTGCTTTATAGAGCCATTTGGAGATGCCAGTAGAGCAACTGATGCTAGAGCTTAATTTGTCAGAGAATGCTCACAAAAGAACACAGGTGGGATTTTATTCACCATCCTCTTTTCATAAAGTATTATTTTTAAAAATGCATGCAGTTGCTAAAATGTTGTCCATGGCTTTTCTGTTATCAGAATAGGATATGTCAGTTATGGAGTTATCCTCTTGACAAAGGAAGTACCATGGATAACAGGTAAGAGGATATTTTTGTAAACCCCTAAATTAGTGTGATAAATTTAAATATAGATAAGTCAACTACTTATCTAAAGTAGTAGGACAAAAAGAACCACAAAAAAGTAGTGGGTGCAAATAATGGGAAATCATAGACTCACCCTAAAATAGAGAGTGGCTGGCAGACACTACAGAGATCATCGTCATATGGTCATTGAGAGTTCACTGTGCTGTTCCAGTGAGGGTTTGATGGATGAGAGTCTAGACTTCTCACTGAAGAAAAAAGGACTTGTAATAAGAAGGTATTGTAATATTCTCTGTGCTAGGAACAATTTCTTATATGTATTAATGCATTTAATCCTCACAACAATCCTATAAGGCAGGTACTGTTCTCATCATCCCTGTTTTAGAGATGAGGACATTGAGGCCAGATGACAAGGTAAATAACTTGCTCAAAGTCATACAATTAATGAATGGTAGTACCAGAATATAAAAAAAGTAGCTTGATTTGTGCTCATAACCACAATAGGATATTGCTTCTGAGACCTTATAGAATTTGAATTCTTATTTTTTGGTTCTTAAAACTTTAGTGTGCATTAGAATCAGCTAAAATGATTCTTAAAAATACAGGTGGTTGTTATTCGGAAATTATTATTTTTTGAACACTGTTATGTGTCACTTTTTTATAAAGATTTTATTTATCTTTAGAGGGGAAGGGAAGGCGAGAAGGAGAGAAATATCAATGTATGGTTGCCTCTCCTGTGTCCCCTGCTGGGAACTGGCCTGCAACCCAGGCATGTGCCCTGACTGGGAATCGAACTGCGATCATGTGGTTCACAGGCCCGCAATCAATCCACTGAGCTACACCAGCCAGGGCTTGTTATGTGTCACTTTTATATACAGAGTATTATTTAATGGACTTGAGTTCTATTCCTTTTTTTTGTATCTAGTTTTGACAGTAGGGTGGTTGGTTTGATTGTAGCAATCAGAGGCTCTGGATAAATTCACCCACTCCTAAACTTTGAAGGGTGAAATCAGAAAGTGCTAAAGGGTTGTACTGATTAATGTTCTAAGGGAATGTTGGAGCTGATGGAAATAGGCAAGGCTAGTTTTACTAGAATGAACTCAGCTGGGAACAAGGATTTCAAGGTAAGAGGTCAAATGAAATGAAATCTGTCCAACTAACTAGCAGAAGAGCAAACAGCAAAGTACAGGCTGGGACCTCAGACACGGGATCCCACCAGCTGAGTTTCAGTCTCAGCTCTGCCATTTTCTAGATGTGTGACCTTAACCAGCCTTGCCTCAGTTTCCTTACCCATAAAAGGTAGAATATAAGAGTGCCTATTTCATGGGGTTGTTGTCAGGACTAAAGGGAAGAATGTGTTTGTTAGGCATTTGCTGTTAATACTGGGAAGGCCTAATAATATTTCAACCAGAGTTGAAAACTTGGTATCAGTGAAATATTTTATTATGGAGATTTTTCTCCTCAGTACACCATTGACAAGTAAAGAGAATCAAAGTAACAGTAATTTTCATTCAGTGTTTAACATTTTTGCAAAGTCCATTCATTTAATCAATCACTTTATTTCTTATCTCACCTCCAAGGTATTCTTTCCCTTATGCTCCCTGGTGGCAAAGGGGCCAAACCCAGGTCTTTTGTCTCCAGACCCCTGCTCTTTTTACTGCATGAATGGATTGTGCCTATTACCAATTGTAGGTTTAAGCGGTTTTCCTGTTTTTTTTTCCAAAGGCAAGTCAGTATACCTAATATTTAAATAAATGCATAAATTTTTTAAACTGGCTTTAAAAGCTAAATAGAATATATATTCCATTTTATCTATCTATCTATCTATCATCTATATAATGTGTGTATATGTATATATACATACATCACAACAGGATTAATTTTTTTAAAGACTTTATTTATCTTTAGAGAGGAAGGAAAGGAGAGAGGGAGAGAAATATCAATGTGTGGTGCCTCTTGTGTGTCCCCTGCTGGGAGCTGGCCCACAACCCAGGCATGTGCCCTGACTGGGAATAATCCTTTGGTTCACAGGCCAGCACTCAATCCACTGAGCTACACCAACGAGGGCTCAACAATAGGATTAATTTGATCCAATTAGTGGATCAAATCTTTCAATGTCAGTATTTCTATTTAAAAAACTAAAAAAACCTGAATATTCTGTGGCTTGGCTTTTTTGCAGTTTCATTTTAATCTAATACCCAGAAGTCTTTGCTCCTAAAACGAAAAAGCACCATCAGATGAAAATTACTGTGGACTATATCTGGGGTAATTTTTGTTTGATATACATTATTTTGATTCCTTTTCTATTAGAATAATTTTTAAAAACCACAATGACCACAAAGTAAAACCCTTTATCCGGTAGGTAACCTAACTGTGTTCTTTAAGAGTTTACTTGTATCTAATTCTGGGTTAATAACATTTCACTATAATTTCAGATTGAGTTGGAAAGCCTCCTTCTCAGACAGCATAAATGCATGTACAAAGTATTTATAGGCAAATAGATATAATTAACCACTTTTAACCTAGTGGCCATTCCTAGCCACAGTTAGCCATTTGTAGTTATAATAACTTCATTTTCTGCATCATAAGGGATGCCCCATTAATATTTTAATTGATAGTTTAAAATGTATATAGTTGTATAGAATAAGAGCATATTTGAAAATTAACATATTCTGTTAAGATAGGTAGATAGCCATTAGGAACTAAACTTTAACCAGTCTTAAATAAAGGTTATTTATTCATTCTTATTTAATAGCATTTCAGTTTTGGTCAACAAGCCATTCATTAATTAAATCATTTTTAAGGGATTTCAAAAAACCTTCTATGGAAATTGGCTTTAATACAACCAACAATCCCATAAAGTTCTTCACTCTGAACCACTCACTAACAAGTGCTCCAGTTGATAAGCAAGTTGGTTCTTACTCTGAACTGCCGACATCAGTAGGTCTCTGCTGGCCCTATGCCGACGGAGACTTTTTTAAAGACAGAAATGAGGCTCATGTTAATTTATGTTCAACTATAGAAAACAACAATGGTGAAACTTTATCTGTTCCAAATTGGAATTTGAAATATGGAAACAGCAGTGTAGAAGAAAATTTAACAGATGAAAGTGATTTATCAGAAAATGAAAAGGCAAGTGATACTTTACTCAGCTATTTTAAAAAGATGGACCTGAACTTAAAGCCAGAAACGATAGAAAATGTTGAAGAATCTTTCACAGAAGAACCAAGTGAAGTATTTCCATATCCTAATTTTCTCCCTCCTCCTTTCAATACTCTGGACTTGCACAAACTAGCCCTCTCAAAATCTGAAAATTGGAAAGCAACAGTGGAATCTCCAGAAAGCTGTATTGAACATTTGGTAACTCGTTTGTTGGAATTGGAACGATTACAACATACGACTATACAAAAAGAGAGGCCAAGATTACAAACTACCTTCTGTATTCCAGCAGCTCCTGAACGACCCTCTTCCTCCAAAACTATACCAAAACTGAGACAGCCAAAACTTTCTGACTCTGTAAGTCTTCAGACAACTTGTATAGATAAAACTAGAGAAAAAAGAAAAAATAATTCTGATTCTTACAAGCTTGAACAAAATGCTTCACAATGGAATTGGAGCAGTGCTGGCAACTATAAATGGAATTCTAAACCACCATCTCTAAAAGGTTCATCCACAACAAAACATTTGATGGCAACTTATGATGCCTTGAAGAATCCCAAAAGCTCCATTTTAAATCCATGCCAAGAACTCTCAACCAACCCTACTACTGCCCAAACAACTCAATCACTGGTTAAAGAGGTCTCAGCAAGACCTTGTCTGCCACCAAGGTCTCTAATACCAGTTTCACCCATAAATTTGTCTTTTCCTGAAAATCACACAGAAGAAATCAAGGCACCAAGGACCAAAAAGAAACTTTACCGAAAACACATAGTATTGAGCAGACCATTCTACATTCAAAAGCGATACTGTTTATCACCTTCATTTATGGCTAAGGGTAAGTGCTCACCCATTGAGCAAAAATAGCATTTCCCCCCTTATGTCTCAATGTAAGCAACTTCATCCCAAGAAGCCCAGCTGAAAATGGCTCACCATTTCGAGATGCAGGTATTAAACACACACAGGCACACAAATTACTTGATGTGCTCATGGAGTGGAACTTGTGAAACCACCGCTGAGATCAGTCTATGTATCAACCCAAGGTAACATATTAGACAATCTTTTGCATGTTATATTTCAAAACATTTTACTTAGTAAACTGTTCCACTCAAAAGATCGTTCTTCTGCTGTGACTGTTTCCCAGTATAATTCCATCATCAATAAATGGTATAATTGACTTATTGCTGCTGTAGTTATTCCTGTGTTCAATTATATACACATAAGAGTTAGTTATCTCTACCAGTGATTTTTAAAAAAAATTATTCCCATTGTTACTTTTTTTTTCTTTCTCATCTCCAAAATCTCTTTTGTCTATTGTTTTGATATGTCCTTAGGTATTTGGCCATTAAAAGCAAAATAAGTTGCTACTTTGTTAAATTAATATACAAGATCCTTGAGGTTCTGCTGTGAAAAAAACTTTCTATTTCTCAGAGCTCGTCATTTGAAAATAAGATCAATTCTCTTTGGGGCCTAACTGTAGGTTTAGGAATGAAACAACCCTCTTTACTCAAGTCTAATAGTTTTTATTATTTTTTTTATCGTTGTTCAATTACAGTTGTCCTCATTCCCCCCCATGGCTCTCCCCTGCCCTGCCTACCCCCACCTTCCACATTCAGTCCTCCCTCACCCCCCCAGTTGTCTTTGTCCAGGCCTCTTTCATACATGTTCTTTGACTTGACCCTTCTCCTTCTTTCCCCCTTACTCCCTCATCCCTCCAGATCTAGTTGTTTTTCAATGTCCAAAGAAAAATGAGAAAAGTTACTGTCTGCTGGGCAGCCAGAATCTCAGGTTAATGAAACTCATGCCCTACCCCAAGACTCTTGTTGCTTGAAGTCTTACCCTTGGTTAGTTGAAACTCAAAATAAGCTAAAGCTTAACTCATGAACTGGTGAAAAGGGAAACTACTGATTGACACTGCCCCTAAGAAGCAAGGAAACAAAAAAGTTGAACACTGGGTTTTATTGCAGGCTTACAGAGACAATCTTTGGGAGCGGGGCCTGGGCACTGCATCCCAGACAATTTTAATGCAGGTGGTTTCTCAGATCACACTTGCAAACACACTGTAAAGGAAAAACTTAATGTAACACACTTAGAGTTTTGGATATTTGGGGGGATAGGTAGTGTGCTTTGGTTTGAGTGAATGGTTGGTGAACTTACTTTTTCTTGAAGATTAAAATAAAGCTACAATTAAAACTTAAAACATTACCCTAAGGTAAACATGAAAAATAAAAGGGTTCTCTCCTCAATCCCACACACAAAGGCAGTCAGGGATTTTCTGTGTATCATCCTCCCAAATAAGATGAAATATTTGTATGTCATGAATTAAAGGATAATTCATGTTGAGTAGAGCAACTGTAGTTGCTTTATCTTACTCAAAGAGTAAGGCTCGGTTTTCTTACAGGCAGGGGTCAAAGAAAGTGCTTCGTTTTTATGTTCAATTGAAAGAATTTTCTGGAACCCTATCAACACAGTGATAGAGGGTAAATTTAACTCTTCGGGACACCTTGTTATACATTTTCACCTAAATCCTATACAATTAACATCATTATCCAAAGTGGTGTAATATCCCTTCCACAGGATAACTCAATTATGAACTTATATTTTTACTTACTTTCCAAATGGCACTGATCTTTCCCCTATCAACTCTTTTTACACTCATCCTCGAAGTTCTAACTTGAATCATGAACCTCATTGACCAGTCCTTTGCACCCATTCTCTTTCTTCACCTGCTTGGATTTTATCCCCTTAGGACTGAAGTGATACAATTTTTATTTGTAAAATCTCAGGGAAACACATGACTGTTCTGTTCAGCATTGTATCCTGAACAACCACTGTAGTAGATACCCTTCCAAGTGCCTAAGGGATAGACTTTATCCATCACTGAAGATTCTTAAGCATGACATAGCAATTACAAACACTGGCTCCATGGCTAGACAGCTAAATTCAAACCCAGGCTCTACCACTTAACAAGTTCTAACACCTTGGGCAGGGTCCTTAATCTGTTCAGTTTCCTCATTTGTAGGGTGGATACAGTATTTTTTATCTCGTGGATAAAAAATGCTTTTTATACATGAAGATTAAATAAAGTGGCAAAATTTAAGATTTAAAAATAGGGATGACACAGGACTGAACAGGAGCTGCCCTCAGCACTGAATTGTCACTGGAGTAACAACTCAACCAGATTAACAACGCCCCACCTCACAAGGCACGAGTGAGGCACCAGCAGGCATAAACCCTGGACTGCAGTAAAACCAGGAGTGGGAGTAAGCATGGGAGATGGAAAACTGGAAGTAGGGAGGAGCATTCTGGAGGTACAGGTAGAAAGGGGTCAGTCTGCCAGAGGTTCCATGGGGTTAATCATGCACTACGGATTGCTTTTGTTTTAAGGGTGTGGGTTGTGGGGGTCGGGGCAATACTGATAGGTACCAGTAAACTTCTTACTAGAAACAACCAGACTACTTTATTTAGGACACGATTAAACCTAACAAAAAAAGAAGCTACTGCAACACCTACCTACCAGATCATTTTCAATTAGAGTTCAAAATTGCTCTAAATATAGTTATGTAAAAAATACATTAGCAGCTGATTTGTTATAAAGCAAATAATTTTTAATATCATGCTTAGTAAAACTAGTTGCCAGTAATGTTTAAACTGAGCCCTAACACAGCCATTTTTCTCGTTTACACTGCCCTCCCTAATCTAATACACTACACATACTCCTTTCCCTAATAACAGCAGGATCTCATGACTTTTCCTTATCAGCCACTTTAGAAAATTATGTAGCTTAGTCCTCTGCCAGCCCAAGTAGAAAACTGTAATCAGGGTCTTTACAAGACTATCCAGAGCCACTGCCTTTCGCCCTATTTCTTATAAATATAAGGACTTGACGGAACAGTCTACTGGCCTAAGTGGCAGGTAGCTCCAGGTGGGTGGAGGATATTCTACAAAGCCAGACACACACTCTGGCCCTCCATCCTCCAGTCCTGCTTTTCATGTGTTAAAGATTCACAGGACATCCTAAGTATTTTATTCACTGTTTTCAAAAGCTCAAGAAATTTCCTGAGGAGAGAACAGAGTGGGAACACTGAAAGTTGTCAGGCTAACCCATCTGCAATACAGCCATGTTTTTAAATTTTTATTTATTCTTTTAGAAAGAGGGGAAGACAGGGAAAGAGGGAGAGAAACATCAGTGTGGTCACCTTTCCCACACCCCATACTAGGGACCTGGCCTGCAACCCAGGCATGTGCTCTGACTGGTAATTGAACCTGAAACCCCTTGGTTTGCAGTTTGGTGCTCAATCCACTAAGCCACACCAATCAGGGCAAAGCCATTTATTTAAATCATTATAGAACAGGGAGTTATCTCATTGCTTATTAAGCTTCTATTACTAAGAAAAGAAAAGAAAAGAAAATAATACATGTAAAAAGATCATGAATACCCTTCGGTGTATGTTCTGCACTTGTTGCAAAAAATGTTGATGTTTGAAAGGATAATCATACTAAAAGGGGTGTTTCTGAGCTGTAGTTCTGTGAAAGGGTAGATTCTGCCCAGGAGTTTGGTAAGCTTCCCTCCACACCTTTCCTCTTCACTGAGATTCACAGAGCACACCAGATGTCTTCTGAGAACTTTTAAACTAAATATTTAACTTTAACCCAGCAGTTACCAATCATGTTTTAGCACGGAATATTTTTTGAAGCATATCTGTGAACAACACCTAAGAAACAGCACCTAAGAAACATCAGGTAAGAAATGATGTCTTTAATCTAAAACTTAACATAAGCAAGCAAAGGAAAAACAAGACAATATAGTAAGAAATGGCATATTTTATTATGTTTTCCCAACAAGTTGATTGGGAACATTGCTACTCAAATGCAAGTTACAATTCAAATGATATCACAAACAGAATACATGGTGAGTATTTTCAGATTTCAGCTTCCATATCTTGATCACTAAATGGAAAGATTCTTCAGAAGAACAGTCCCTTACCCTACATACAAAAGGAAAAGAACAATTAAAGGTGCCATGATGATATCTATCAAAATAACTGGAAAACATTTCAAAACTCAATTTAGTGTATGTACATTATTAACATGTAAAAAACACAGATGAATTTGTATTGAACATTTCTATAAGGACATTCCATCTAGGAGAAGCATGATAAAATTCATGTTGAATATATGCTTGAACTAGGACACTATGAAGAAAAATACTTTATGGAAACCCAATTTCTAATGATGTCATTACAACTAAGGGAAGAAGCTACATATTTGAATATTTAGCTTCTTTCTTATCTCCAAGATTTAAAAGGGCATTCCTTAACTACTTGGCCTAAATGTTCATGTATGTGATTTCTGTGTTTCATTTCAGAGATTTTAGTTCTACCAAGCTAGCTAGAGTTCTGCTACAAAATGATGACAGAGTAAGTCCAAGAAAAGTATTTGTTCTCAGACATGACACAAATCTGAGAACATTTCACTGCCTCTACCACATACCATAAAACATAAATTTTTCATATTGTAGAAATATCCTGTATACTCATTAATTAGTAGAAAGTGGTAATTATAATGGTTGTAAGTAAAAACTCTTTTAATAAAAAACAATTATTTTGAGGAAAAAAGTAATTTTGAGGGGAATGATAGGCACTGAGAACAAGATGCTATGGAAGATTTAGGGATGAAAACAAGTACTGGGACAATCTCAAGATTTATAACAAGATGCTCCATGCCTTCGAAGCCTTAAAATTCCAACTTCATTTCTGATAACCTTCAAGAATAAGGGCTACCTAGAGAATGGTGTCTAAAATGTGTATGCTTTCTAAAATCTCAACTATTCCCCCAAATACATAAAGAATTATGAAATCTTTAGGAGCTATGCCCTAAGACTTATGAACCCTGAAGTCTGACAATCACTTGACTTACTTGCTATCACTTTTTGGTATAAAGTATAATAAAGCAAAAACTTCAAGAGATAATTGTATTTGAAAACTACACAGCTACTCTGAAACATGAATGTGGGCTTTTAAAAGATCATTCACAAAATGACCTCAATCTCACAGAGCTCTTGCAGAGTTCCAAATCTCTTCCTCAGGAAAACTAGGAACTCTAGTATCATGTATATACTGTTTGTAGGGTTCCTGTCAAATAGATTAATCTAGGAATGCTTAATTCGAGCATATAAAAGATCTACGCCATATCACCTCTCATCTCCCTTAGGAAGAAAAATTAACAATGGTTCCAACTATTTTGCTTCCTTTAAGACCATGACTGGAGCAATAGTCAAAAACAAATTACTGAAGGGCATGTTGGAGAATAAAGTATTAAACAGGAGTTGAATAGTATTCCCAAAATTCCAGTTCCTACCCTTTTACATTCTATTCTTTTAAATCTTTACAGAGTTGCCAAGGAGGTAAGAAATCTAAAGCTCAAGACTAAGTTCTGATGTATGCTATTTTGATATTTGCTGTTTCCCTAATAATAATCCATAGGAGCCAAATTTGAAAACCTTATGTTATAAGGAATCTCACCATTTAAGAGTCTTCTACACCACTAAATTTGACCACTATCTTTATTTTAGGGAAGGGAAGATGGGGAAGAGGCAGGAGCATGATCAAACAAGCACTTTACAAATGAACACAATAGCACTACTATTCTAAGTACCAAACATTAATGAAACCCAAATCATAATGCTGAAAACTAAAAAATTAGACAAAACTTAAATGAAGGATTCTTTTTTTTTTAATCTTTTATGGAACAGAAACCTTAGCTCATGTCTTCTGGTTGTCATCATCTTCCACTGAGCTGCACCTAAAACACAAAGAACAAGTAACAAGCAACTTTGTTTTTTAAAGAATATGTAACAGTTTTGAAGGCATAAGATGAACTGTTTCTAGTGGAAGTTAACTTACTTAAATAATTATATAAAATGAAGCTATAAAAGTCACCAGAAGCATCGTATGTTATTCTGAGTGAAAATAATTACAAAGATTTGAATATGCAGCATATTATCACCAAAATAAAGTAAATAATGGTGGGAAAATCTCTACCCATTCCATTTAAGGTAGAAAGCTGCACCAGTGATGCCTCATTTACAAGGCTTCACTCTACTTGAAGATGAACACCACCTTGTATTTATTTAAGTAAGTCTAAATCGTGAAGAGATGGGGTATAGAATCAAAGTTGGCTTATTATATCATCTATCACCTTCCTGGCTGTAGTTCATTTCATGTCTTTAAATGGAGCAAAACCCACCAGAAGAATGCTGCTATCTGATTTTCCATTCTTGAATGCACCAAAATGTGCATGCTTGTGGTAATTAGTGCCTGGGTGAATAAAAAAATCCCATTTACAATTTAAAAATATTATTTAAGCCCCTAAAATCTGATTACTTTCCATATTCCTCAGGGAGACAAGAATTAATCTTACGACCCAAACAGAAAAGATTACATAAATTTCTGAAAATTCTCTTCCACCATGTTAAAAATACAATTCCTTTGTGTTGCAAAACCAAGCTGATTTACATGATTTTTGTTTTAAACTGTTGCTAAATGTTTATCTACACATGCTGTCAGAAATAACCTTGTTAAGAAGGTGAAGCTGGTGTCTCAGCAAATCAGACCCCTTGGAGAAGGCGTTGAATGGCCTGTGCCCCGTTTTCCTTTTTTCTCTTTCCGCACCATCAAAAGGAAAAGTGAGAAAATAGCAGAAACATTAGTTAAATCCTGATTTATACCCCATAACCTACAGGAATTATCTCACTACACTGAAAGCTGACAATATCTGTAGAATATTTTGATGAAATAATTAGGATCCTAATTATTAATAAAATAATAAACTTTTGGCTAGGTTTACATCTTTATTAGCAAATAATTCTGTTTAAGACTTTAAGGAAGAAAGGAAAGGTTACTTTTAACTATTTATGGTTTACCTGACTTACCAGCACTGAAGACAAAAATTTTTAAAAATGGCTACAAATGCCTTGTTCACAAAAGACTTTATTATCTAGTGATGCATACTGAGAACATACAGAAATCTGCATGGTCCACTTCACATGCAGTAGAACAATCTTTACTTTACAATAAGTGAGTGTCAACTGTTTATGCAATAGACAACACTTTAAAGTCACATTCTTAAAGAAAAGCTTCATTTACAAAAGAAATAAAAGGTAAAGAAGCAATTACCGCTTTTAAAAAGCAGCTGCTTTGTTCAAGAGTGGAAGGTTTATGCCTGTATTGAAAGACAACATGATCACAAATAATGAAAACAATGAACAAATGAAAAACACTTTTACCATAAACCAGTACACTTTCAAAATGACATACAAATAGTTAAAAATTTCATTATGTTGTCTATCTAACTTTTAAATGAGGACTTTCAATTATGCCTCAACATTTGTAATTTAGTAAATGAAAACTACGCATTGTTTCTATGTCACTAGGAACTGTATTTAACAAAATGTATAAAGTCTATAGCAAGTTGATTTTTAAAAAATTAAAGTTAATTAAGAAACAGTACACTGAAGGCGCTCTATCCATCAAGCGCATACTCTTCAAATTTTAAATGTGATGAATAGAACAGAAATTGTAACTATGCCACAGTTGCAATGCCAAAAAAATAAAACAAGATCAGTTATCACACATGCAGGGAATTCTGCCACAAAGCTAATATCCTCATTTGTCAATTGTTCCAATAAAATAACATCTTAAAATACCAGTGATGTTGATGGTTTAGCTTACCTTCAGTGTACTGAATGTTGTACACAACCTGCTTAAAAGAGGAGACCGTCCCTGCAGGCAGGCTCAAGAAGGAACAGACCCCTTCGGCAATGACTACACCAAGGGCATGCTGCTGTGGCCTGCACACACACACCTAGGAAAATGTGAATATAAACAGCATTTATGCTGGCCATTTTACCTGAAGACCAAAATGAAGCCAAGTCTGCTAAAAATAAATCAACCACCCAGTATTACTACTTATTTTGTAACAGATGCTTTTTTGTCTTTTATGTGAACTGCAACCATATACATTAGCACTATAATTTTGTGCAGTCTTGGCAGTTAAAACAGTTCTACAGTGAAATTTCACATAAGACACAAAACAGATTAACTAACATTTCTAAAAGAATATCACCCTTGGTGTTAATTCAAATATATCATGCTTCCTCAAATTTGCTGGAGAAATATTTATAAGTTTATATACATTAATAAACTGCTGTGAAATTTCTTCAGTCTTTGTATTTAATTACTCAAACCATTGGAGCTTCTTCATCTCGTTTAAATTTTTTCCTGGATAAAGGCATGCTGTAGGGCCTGGTTGATGCTAATTCGTTTGGCTGGGTCCAACATTAGGATCTGGTCCAACAAGTCCTTTAGTTGGTGCACTTTTTTACGTTGGTCTTCAGGAAGTCGCTGGCACCCAATCAAGTCAGCCAACAGGTCCTTAGTTGGATTAATGGTGCTCATGACAGTAACTTTCTCCTAAAAATAATTTTTAAAATGCGTATCTCTAAATGAAGTTACTAAAAACATGTAACACATTTTGTTTTGTCTTCCAAAAATACTAATGTGTAAGAATATCATCTATTCATTTGGATATTTTATGTGGCTGCCTCTATCCTCTATGTCTTTTCAAGAAGCAGTAAGAAAACAAATAAAAAACGTTAACAAGTTATGAGTTTTTTTAAAAACATCATTCTGTAATGTAATTTTGAAAAAATAGTAACAGAATTAGAACTCTAAAACTTTAAAATTTGAGAGTTCAAAAATATTAAGTAATTAAAAAAACAGTAAATGCTTGCTGTGTGAACTGTGCTTTTTCCCACTCTGAAGCGGGAACAAACATGTACACTAGTTGGCCCAGCAAAGCTGTAAGTGCTGACAAAGTTAGGGACACATAATATAATGGGGCCAACCAAAATAAACAAGTCCTTACTTTAACCTGGAGATATTTAGAAAGGCTCAGACAGAGTATGTATTTCACCTGAGCCTTAGAGCTGAGTACATTTGAGGGGAGGAGGAAGTTCAGGAAGCAGGTAAGGTCAGGATGGCTGTGAACGAAGCCTCAGGGTCTGAAACAGCAACAGCAGGCCCCTCAGCTATTTGCCAAGTGTGAAATGGTAGGGTTTACAGAGTGCAGTGAAGAAAGGGGAAACTGTTGAAGATGGCAGAGTTCATACCAAAGAGGACTTAGTTTGTCACTGTGAGAAATTTAAGTATATTATCTAGGTAACAAAATCTGGTGAAGGGTTTTTAAGCATAGAGTAATATGATCAAATTTGTTTTCAAAAAGATCACTAAGGTAGATGGGAGGCCAGACCAAAAAAGCAATCCAAAGGAAAGATGAGAAGGGTCTAAAGATGACCCATAATAAAAATAAACTCATACTACACACTTTAAAAATCTCTTCATCTTTTTCATTAACTTGATGTTACTTTGTTCAGGAACTGGCCAACACCAAAAATTATTTTTAATGTTTTAAAATATTCACAGCTCAAAGTATAAACCAACTCATTTGCTAACAATAAGATAATCATTTAATCTTGACACTTAAAAAAGACTTACCCTTTCTGTTACTTTATCAACTTCTATGTACATGAAGTTAAGGTTTTGATCAAAATGCTGGTCTTTGAATACGCCTTTCCGAATCATCTGGAAATAAAACAAAACTTCAACTTACAAATGTGAAATTATTACATTTCCCCAGGCAGTAGCTTAAACCAATTATGATATCAAGTTGTACTTTCACTATTTCAAACTGAGGATTAAACAAAGACTTAAAATCATTTGTTTTGGGATAGGAAAAGTATCACACAATTGGGGCTTTTTCTTTTTACAGGTAAGAATTCTAAAGACATTTTACAAATTATTCTCAAATAGCCCTAACATGATACAGGTTAGCTCTCAGTAAAATAAATACCAACAGCTAATTTCTGTGTAATTTATTCTAACAAATTCAACATAACATAAACTGAAATTATAAAAGTCTTAAGATACGGCTCTCAGACAATTTTTAAGTCCCTAAAGTTCTTGCTTTATGTTAATCAAACAAACTGATATTGTAGCTGAAGGATGAGTTTTATGTTAGAAAAATGTCATTTCAAGTAAATTTTCTTGGTACCTTCCTTTCCCAAATAACTTTCAAACTTTAATAAACCGATTGCCACCAAGTTCTTCTTTCAATGTTCACCCATTCCTCCTCTGATGACTGAGCCCTTTCTTATATCTAACTAACCTGACCTGCGTCTTTTTGCATTTCAGCTCTCAAGCATGTTTATGCTGTTACCAGTAAGGCTGTGCTCCCAAGAACACTGCTGCTTCTGAAAGAACAGACACATGAAACAGTATATATAAAACACACACACATATATATCTCATGTATATATATACATATATACAGGTGTATATATATAAAATATATATATGGTGTTTAACAGTTATGTTCATCAATTCCCTCTTCAATTCCAATTCTACCCTACTGTCTGCCTAATTCAAGAGGGTAAAGAACAGCACAAAGTCAGACTTTAGAGGGGAAAAGGAAAACAGAGTTCTGTTCTCTTTTCATAGCTTTTGGCTGATTAGAACCACTAATTTAAAGACCAGAAATGAGAAAGAGCTAAGGATATCCCAGTAGCCACATACTTGCCTCTCTGTAACTGTTTTATAGCCATTAGTAATGAGCGTCAGTAATCCATCAGTCAGTCTATAGGAAAATAATGCCAAGACCTTAAAAAACAAGCTCACATTAATGTCCTACCTTATTTGGCATCTTTCCTTTGAGATCCATGGCGAGCTTCAACATATGGTTATTGGTTTTGCCAGGAAATAAAATTTTTCCAGTATAGAGTTCATATAAGGTGCAACCTACCGACCACATATCTATACCATAGTCATAGCTTTTACCTATAACTGGAAACAAAATGGAAGTTTAAATATATGATGATAAAAAACAATCAACTACTATTTATTTCCATTAATGGAGTATTAATTTAGCTTGATCTACATAACCACAATCTCAATACCTTGCTTTGGCATTAGCTTCATGTTCTTTCCCATTAATTAACAACTCAAACTTAAAATCTCAGAAAATGAGGCAGTGGGGAAGGAATCAAAGGGGCAGAAAAAAATGTTTATTTCTTCTTTGTTCATTTCACTTTTGGTGCTAATCAGCCTCCACCAAGGCAACAGGAAAAAACAAAGGTCCTATACCATTCATAAATTTGATAATCAGACCCTGAGTAATCAAGAGCAGTCCTCTGAGGTCGAGGATTTTCTACAACTGTTTTTCCTACTCTTGCCAGACATGATTAAAACTCCTATCTCAGAGGTTAAAAACCTGCGGCCAAGATGGAGGCATAGGTGAAATATCGAACCTCCTCTCAAAACCAAATTTAAGAACAAAGATTTAGAAACAAAAACACAACCAAAACAGAAAATTGAACTATACTGAAGTCTAACAACAAACCATTCATCTAGACTGGTAAGAAGGGCAGAGTCAGTGGCTGATGGAGAGGGGTTGTGGCAGGAAGAGGCGGTGGTTAGCGGACCTGGGACGAAAACCCAGGAAGGTTCACAGGTGGCTGGCTGACCACGATCACACATGTGCGCGCAGATAAACCAGGCAAAAAACAGGCACTGAGACAGACCAGGCAACACAGGGCCCCAGCAACAGGAAATAAAGCCTAAATGCACAGACTGAAAGGTGCCAAGAGGTTCCCATCACAAGAGAGTTCGTTAGAGAAATACCCACAGGGTCCTAGAATGTACACAAGCCCATCCACCTGGGAACCAGCACCAGAAGGGCCCAATTTGCTTGTGGGAAGCGGCAGAGAAGACTGAAATCCGAGAGAGAGTGCGACAAGCACCACTGTTCCCTCTGACCCACCCCCCCACCCCGCACATACAGCATCACAACCCAGCGACTTGGGTTGCCCCGCCCTAGAGAACACGTAGGCTCTGCCCCTCATATGTAACAGGCGTGAACAGACCAAAACATTATGGCTGAAGCAGAACAACAGCTCAAAGGCCCGGAGCCAATACTTCTAGCAACAAAGAGATAGCCGACCTATCGGATGCACAGTTGGAAACACTGGTGATCAGGATGCTCACAGAACTGGTTGATTTTAGTTGCAAGTTAGATGAAAAAAATGAAGGCTACACTAAGTGAAATGAAGGAAAAGGCGCAGGGAACCAATAGTGATGGAAAGAAAACTGGGACTCAAATCAATGAAGTGGACTAGAAGGAAGAAAGAAAACACCCAACCAGAAAAGAATGAAGAAATAAGAATTCAAAAACATGAGGAGAGGCTTAGGAACCTCCAGGACATCTTTAAATGTTCCAACATCTGAATTACCGGGGTACCAGAAGGGGAAGAGGAAGAGCAACAAGTGGAAAACTTTTTGGAACAAATAATAAAGGAGAAGTTCCTAAATCTGGCAAAGGAAATAGACTTCCAGGAAGTCCAGGAAGCTGAGAGAGTCCCAAAGAAGTTGGACCCAAAGAGAAGCACACCAAGGCAGATCATAATTATATTACCCAAGATTAAAGATAAGGAGAGAATCTTAAAAGCAGCAAGACAAAAGGAGAGAGGTACCTACAAAGGAGTGCCCATCAGACTGTCAGCTGATTTCTCAAGAGACTTTATAGGCAAGAAGGGGCTGGAAAGAAGTATTTGAAGTTATGAAAGGCACAGACCTACATCCAAGATTGCTCTATCCAGCAAAGCTTTCATTTAGAATGGAAGGACAGATTAAGTGCTTCTCAGATAAGGTCAAGTTAAAGGAGTTCACCATCACCAAGCCCTTATTGTACAAAATGTTAAAGGGACTTATCTAAGAAAAAGAAAATAAAAAATATAAACAGTGAAAGAACAGCAAACTCACAGTTATTAACAACCACACCTAAAACAAAAGCAAACTAAGAAAACAGCTGCTAGATCAGGAGCAGAGACACAGAAATGGAGATCACATGGAGAGTTAGCAACAGGGGAATGGGAGGGAGAGAGGGGGAAAAAGTACAGAGTAAGTATCATAGATTGTAGGTAGAAAATAAGGGGAAGGCAGAATAGTATGGGAAGTATAGAAGTTAAAGAACTTATGACACATGGACATGAACTAAAGGGGGAAATGTGGGTGGGAGATGGTGTACAGGGTGTAGGGGAATGAAAAAGGGAAATGGGACAACTGTAATGGCATAATCAATAAAATATATATTAAAAAAAAAAAAAGACTCCTGTCTTAACTACCATCATTCCACCTGAGGATGAACTTGCTATGGTTCCCTTCCTCATGAATGACCTTGTGCAGCTGCTGAATGGGACAAAAACAGTACTTAGACATTAATATGCTGTTTTCACCGTACATGATGGCCCAGGTCAAAGAACATTTGAAGACACTTACTAATTTCAGGAGCACGATAAAATCTACTGACAAGATAAGGAGTTATGTCATTATCCGCGACATGTGAAGCCGACCCAAAATCACAGAGCTTTAAAATAGTTTTTGATTCATTAACCTGCAAAACATTTTATCATGGAAGTTTAATTCATGTTAGGAACAATTAAGACAATCAGATAAAAATAACTGGCTTTGAGAAGTTATTTCCAATACTGAGAACAAAGTCACTCATTTTTAAATTCCTTTTTATTTTATAACTCAATTTCCTAATTATGAAAAATTAAGAGCTACCAAATGTTTAATTGTAATTAGTAAAACTTTTCTCAGTGAAGAAATATGAGATAATACAAAGTAAAATTGATTTTAACCAACACTATTTAGAAAAAGATGGGGTAGTTAAGAGAAAAATATCACGGAAGCAAAGCATCTTCTAAAAATCCCCAGAACACCTGAATAAAGTTACTATTTAAGGAGCACAAAGACGTTCACTTAATAAGGGATCAGACTTAGATGAACGTTCAGTTGCCTGAAAATTATGATGGCAACAGAAATGATTCAGAATAAATTTGGACAAAAATGGAATAAAAACTTTCACTGGAAGCTGCTAGACCATCCCAAATTTAGCAGTCACTTCAAGTCTAAAAATTTTTAAATCCCTTAAATATAAAGAAGTTATTAGTTAAGCAAGTGTTAAATATACTTGGCGAAACCGATAAACATGAACTCTGTATTAGTCATTTGTTTCTTTTTTCCTTTGTAAATACTTCAACATACACAGTAACAGTGACATCTGCTGAGAAAGGCTGGAGCTGCTCCCATGACTGCTGCCACTCATGAGTCAGAAGCATGTTCAGGATTAACAAGTGCAGATAATTCATATTCCAGAGTCCCTTCCCCCCTTCAAAAGAGACACACACAAATTTCGAGTTGGGACTTGAACTTGGCCTACTGTTCCCACCCAAAAGAAGCATAACACTTTAAATAATTAACCCTAGGCACTCTCTACTGGGATGTGCTAAAGGTTGGTCAGTGTTACACAGGCTGGTCCATTACAGATATCCATGGGATTAGGCTAATGACAGAAATGAGTATTTTTAACTGACAGGTCAATAAGCATTGTTTTCATCTAGGAGATCAGTAAAACAGGTTATCTTCAAAAGTACTTTGAAAGCTTGTTAAAGTATCAACTGTACTTAGCTACTTAAGAGTTGCACCTTGGCCAGGTGGCTCAGATGGTTTGAGGTATTGTCTGCACATGAAAAAAGTTGCAAGTTCAATCCTTGGTCAGGGCACATATCTAGGTTGCTTCTTTGATCCCTGGTTAAGGCATGTACAGGAGGCAACTGATGTTTCTCTTTCATGTCAGTGTTTGTCTGTCTACCCCCCCATCTCTCTCATATCAATTAACATATCCTTGAGTGAAGATTTTTAAAAAATGCAGTTACAAATAGCAAAAAAAAAAAAAAAACCCGAAAAAAAAACAGGACCATTTTAAAATTAGAACCTACCAATGGAACTTTTCAGTTGGCTAAACCGCCTTAAATAATAGCAGGGCTACCTACATTTAGGTGCACTTCAGTTTGGCTACACATCTTCTACCTGCTCATAAGGAATGTGGTACTTCTGCCATACTGATAGCTAAAGTCATCAGCTAAAAGTTTTGGATTTACATGAAACAGTTCCACGTGGTCTCTGATACCTATTTTTCCTTCTTGAGGAAGGAAAAATATTCAGTGTCAGAGTCTTTGTGAAAATCTATACTGGTTTAACACTAACTCAGAGAAAAACGAAGGTTTTAAAAACAAGAGCTTCTAAGATACTAGCAAATGTCTTATTATTTAACCTCCATGGTGGTTACACAGATATTCACTGTGTAATTATCTTTAAACTGCATATTTTACAATTAAAAAGAAGAAAGTTGAGGTAAAAATCAACTATTAAGTTGACTAGGCAAGTCTACAATTCATTTATAATGCACCTACCATTTCACTGTAATTAGCTCCTAAAGACAAGTTACATTAGATACGCAACACATTATAAACTCAGACCAAACATACCAAAATGAAATGCCTCATTATTAATGTGGCAGTGTAAAAGGAAATACTGTGTTTGTGCATTAATCATTGTATTATGATATATATAGTTCTCAATTTCAAAAACACAGACACTGTGAATCTGCATGCTATATCAGAAGTTGTTAGTTAAAAGAGCTCAAGACCAAGAAATATGCTTTTCAATCTAATACCTAACCTTTAACTATGACTAAGCTTTAACTATGTTTGAGCTCCCAGAAGGCACAGCTTCTAAAGCAATAAAGACTAAGGGAAAAAAATAATGACTCCTGGGCATGTTTAAACTCAGCTCCACAGATCTGCTTAAGAGAAGGCAGTACTCTTAAATGTCCTTAACTCCATCAGTCTATAAAATTAAAGCACAAAGAAGTGCAGACACACCTTATTTCAAAACAGAAACATGTGCAGCACTTTTTTCCTCCAATACTAGAGAAAGCCCATCATTACTATTATTAAGCACTTTTGGGATTTGTGTGTACTGTGAATCCACAATCAAAAAGAAAAAATTGGGACAGTGGCCTATCTCAACTTTATAGTTTAAAGTTTCATGGCTCAATTACCAAAAAAGTAAAAACTGGTAAAGTCATTTGTAATGGGTAATACATATAGTAAATTATTCTTCTCAGATGTTATTTCTAGAATAGTGGTAATCTCACATTACCAGTAAGGCAGTATATGGATACACAAGGCAACCTGGCCATTTGACTTACCAGGATATTATCTGGCTTGATATCAGCATGTAGAATATTGCATCGTTTAAGGAGTTTCAATGCCAAGAACAACTGCTGACTATAGGATCTTACGGCTTTAATATGAAGACCAACATCTTTACCATATTTTTTCAACACCTCTCGTAAATTCATACTTTTAAAAGAGAAAAAAATGGTTTGGGGTTAAAATGCAGAATGTATATTTAAAAAAGCAAAAACATTTAAGCATAAATATTAACCCCCAAATATGGATTACAATGAAAATATTCTGTTCAAGAACCCCAGCCCCAAACATCTGATATTGTTCTGCAGTGAAATTAGAGCATATGGAATGGTGTACACATATCACAATTTTCCAGTAAAACTCAATTTTCAAAATAACTAGGAGACAGGCAATGGTAAAATTTGTATTGATTTTAGAATGGGTTTACATTTGAAAGACTAACTTCAAAGCTTTTGAGGATCGAAATCTTATTTCTAATTCCCCCAAATTCCCATTTCTTTTCATTCTTGCTCAATCCTTCCTGGAAGTATCTTATTTTCAGAGAATTTCTCTTGTTGAGCTGAAGGCTAAAAGTGATTAGTAACTGGCACATAATGTGCAAACAATTAATGTTTATACATTACTAAATGTCAAAAAGTTAGCTCTTAATCAAAAGTTAAAAAACAGAAACTAGGGTACAATGAAAAAAAAAAAAAGGAAAAATAAAATACCCAGAAAATCTGTCATCTCATTCATCTACAGCAGCAATTTTCAACCTTCTTCATCTTTTGGCACACAAACTAATTACTAAAATTCTGCGGCATACCAAAACCCATATTTTTTGCTGATCTAACAAAAAAAGTATAATTTTGATTCACTCACACCAGACAGCTCTTTTGTGTTGGCTGTTGTCATATTTTTATTTGACAATGTAAAGGAAAAGAGGTCAGTGCCCCTGACTCAATAGTCAGGTACTGAATGTTTTAAGAATTCTTGCGGTAGACTGGTTGAAAATCGCTGACTCTAAAGTGAGGTTGGTAGAGATACAAAAGCTTAATTTTCAGTGAGTGTGTAAGTCTTGACACTGTACCTGAGAGGCTCAAATACGAGACAGAGATGCTGTTTGTGATAAAAGTGTCTGAAGAGCCGTAAACAATGAAATTTGTCATCAGGATCAGCATCATTAAGTTTTTTCAAGAATTCTAGTTCTTTTAAACCAGTTTTTTGCCTGAAATTAAAAAAAAATTTGGTCAAAATTAAATACATACAAATTTAGGAAAAGTAGTACATGTTTGCAAGTTCCAATCTGATGTACCACAAGTGATAAATTAAATTAATTACTATTTTTAAAAACTAGTAATAATAAATCTGTTGAGGAAAAACAAGACTCTATCATTTACACAACACTTTATACCAAATCAAAACTGTTTTCATGAAGTTAATTTCCAAAATAACCAATCAACAACACAAAAACACTGAAGAATAAACCTGCCTTGCTTGAAGGGAAGTCAATCTTGCACATTTTATTCTCAAGTCTCGATATAAATATTATGCTATACAAAAGTGGAACCATACTGTGTACAGTCTGGGTTCCTTAGAAGTCTAATTAAGGAATGTCTCACTAAATATTAATATTTGGTTATCCTCTGAAATTCTAGTTATAATTTGTCAATAAGCTACATTTTAAAAAGTTAGTGCCTATATTACAGTGGTTGGGATAACCATCAAAACAAAACAAAAAAACCTTTTTAAGTCTAGGGTGGTTTAAGACTATAGTATATAAATCTGCAACATTTCTTTCTAGTATTTCAAAACCAAGAGTAAATTGACTTTAATGCCAGCTTAGTGTGTGGTATAGATTATGCATTAAAACATGTGTGGCAATTATGTAACTATTCTATTAAAGAAAAAAGGCAAAAGATAAAAGATACAAATAATTCTCAGAACTATAATAAACCAGCTTTCCTTTTTTCCCCACCATATGCTTATCAGTTTCAACTAATCAATAGAATCCTTTTATTGATTCTCTCCTCCGGTCTTGAGTTTAAGATATTCATAGCAAAAGACGCACATCAGACAAGCAGTAGAAGGAGTCTAAGTTGGTATTAGTGTACACAGTAGGTAATGAAATGCACTGAAATATAAATCAGCCTACAATTCTAGTACTTCACATTTAATACATGGCTATAAACTAAAAAATCCCATCAAAATAATGGCTTCTGTCATTTTATAATTGCAATACTTATTTTATACAGATTTTTACTTTTTTTAAACAGCACTTAAATCATTTGTGAATACCTGTGTTGTTAAAGGTTTAATTATATATTTTTCTGAACTTACATGAGCTCATTGTTTCTGATGATCTTTACGGCTACTTCTTGGTTGGCTCTTGCATTATCTCTGGCTCGTACGACATTACTGAACACGCCTTGACCAGTGTAGCCATACACATTGTAGCGCTTATCTAGTACTTCACCTATGTTCACACCTAAAGGAGTAAATTTAAAAATCAGAACTTTGACCACACAGATTACCAAACAAACTACGAGATATACAGAATAAATTAAAAAGTAGGAAACAGTGCAGTCACTTTAAACATGTCAAACTCTACTGTGTGCTTGGTTTCCCAGACACCATAGAAAATCAAGGTCAGGCCTCCACTGGTCAGTCTTTCATCATGTGGTTAAAATTGCATGCCTACTTCTAACCATTACAAGGGGAGTTTCTGCTATCCATCCTATCAAATGCTGATGATTTGAACACTGGATACAGAAGAAATGTGCTGGCTGAAATGTTTCCAGCTGTAGTCTTACATGACTAATACAAGTTCCTTGTATGTTGTTTCTCTTGTTTCAGATCAAGATGAGCAAGTGATGGATCCCCTCCTTCTTAGGGGTTATCTTAATGGCTAAAACAACTGCAAATAGAACTAAGTTGCATATCAAGTCTTTACCTCACTTCAATTTGTGATGCTTCTGGGCTGCTTAATGAAATAAAGTGGGATTCAGCAGCTGCTAGATAAGCCACTTTTCAGGTGATGGCGTGATGATGTGACTTTTAGGGTTCTTCAATGAGTGACTACATCAGCCCCATACTTTTACAAAATGTTACAATGAACTAAAATTAGTAAGAACAGTTAACTTACGATAATAGCCTTCTGCATCAGTCCAGTTATCCCTGAGGTTAGGATTCTCTTTGAAATCTTTTCCAATGCCAGCAGCTCGAAGACGAGCACTCTGAAATTAAGGAGGCAATATGAGCTTTGTACCCACTAATCAGCTGGACATTTAAAGTACTTCCTTTAAAACAATGGGTGAAACTAGCTATAATAAAAACATTTCATGCCAAAATAAACTCTTACTATCAACTCATGTAAAACGTGACATAAATGAAATGTGATCACCAGAGTCTCCTGTATCACAATAATGTTTAGGGGAAAAAATTAACAAAGTATCTTTAAAAACTTTTGGGAACATGACTAGGATATAAATGAAAAGAAAAACTTAAACCAGATCTGATTTTCCATAGCTATTGATAGAGGACAAACATTATACATGGGCACTTAGTTAACAATCAGTGTACAACTCTCCTACCAATTCTCACATTTCTTTTACTGCCTTGTCCATGTAACACCCCTTGCTTCTCTTCCCACATATGTATGAAATGTCACTGGCTGTACAGTTAAGCCTATGAGGGAAATTAAGAGTTATCTGGCACTTTTGAAGAGTCTTTATCACACACCACTCCCCACCCCATTGCAAAATGTGTATGTGACACATTACTTAAGCCAATTACCAATGTATGCTGGGTTCTGGGCACTGGCTGCTTATCCTATTCCATTTTTAATTTTCCTGTTGTATGTTTATCCTTCCCACCTCCTCTTAACAAAAGCTTCCTATTGCTCATGTTCTCTTACTTCTGAATATTTGTTTTAAAACTTTTCAAGAAAAGGCACTGATAAAAACGGCTAAAGACACAAAATTCCTTAACCCACCCTATAACATTTTCAACAATTCAATGATTTCTATTAGGCTCCAAATCCTTAAGTTCTTTATCACCTATGATATAAAAGCCCAAAATGAATTCTGTTTTAATAAAGGCCTGGAAATTGTTGTTGTCACCTTATCTTACCTAACTACCCATATACAAGAATACACAGTGTGAAAATCTAGGGAGAAAGTTGTTTCAAGTCACAACCAAGTGACTTGATCTTCAAGTCACTCGGTATTTATTGGGTTGGCCAAATCATTTGCTTTTTTCCATAAGAAAACTCCAGTAGCACTTAGTTATCTTCAACTTCATATGAAACTTAGCTATCTCTAACTTCTTAGATTGTACTGTGACAGCTGTCATATCAGTGTGGGCTAAAAAAAAAACAAAACATCAAAACTGGTGAATTTCTGTGTAGCCATTTTAATACTGAATAGAAAGAAATACACATTTTCAGCATGTTGGCTTTATTATTTCAAGAAAGGTAAAAACACAACTGAAATGCAAGAAAAGATTTGTGCAGTGTATGGGGAAGTTGTTGTGACTGATCGGATGCGTCAAAAGTGGTTTGTGGTTTGCAAAATTTCGTGCTGGAGATTTCTCACTGGACAATGCTCCACAGTTGGAAAACCAACTGAAACTGATAACGATCAAATGGAGACATTAACTGAGAACAATCAATGTTATACCATGTAAGAGATAGCCGACACACTAACAAATATCCAAATTAATAGTTACTGGTAAAAATCTTAAATGTGTCTTTTTATGGAAACAACCATAGGGATTGTTTGGCCAACCAACTAACTCTTTTTATGAAGCTCCCAAACTGTTGTGCTGCATTTGTTTTAAAATTCTGACTTAATTTCAGACTTATAGAAAAGCTGTAAATCTACTACATAAGTTCCCAGATACCCTTCACCCAGGTGTCCAAATGTTAACACTTATTAATTTGCTTTATCCATCCCTCTCTTCCCCTCCCTCCCTCCATTTACACACTCATGCACAAATACATACTTGTTATCTATATATGTTTTAGGTGACAGTTGTGTTTTTATGACTGAAAATAACTTACATCAAAATATGCAGCAAACATGTCATCAGATTCTGTAAACATATCAGGTGCCAAAAGCTTCTTCTGAGAAGACCCTTAATGAAAATTAGCATTAATATTTGAAAAATGAAGAGATACAATTTAAAGTACAAATTATGGAAAACCACTAACAGCAATTAAAACTTTTTTCCTCTTGCACATCAGTTTTTCATTAATAATCAACTTAAAATCAACTTTATAATATGAAAATATACAAAGCCATCCACTTTTTCCTAAAAAGGTACATTTCATAAAGTTGAAAGATCTAATACCAGTTCTTTCACCAATATTCAATTAGCATGATAACAGCTAAACAAATTATGCATTAAAAGGAACGCTCTTCTTTAAAAATTGTATTTCTAAATTGCAACTTAAATCGCAAAAGGTTAATATCCCCATTAAATTGATATGTCTGTATATATTTCTCTCCTAAAAAGTCTAACACCACCTTATTTAAAAAACAAACAAACAAACAACAAACAAAAAACCCACACCAGCATAAAACATTAAAGGGTTCCTGGAAAGAAAGAATGCAAATTAAAACTATAATGAAATACCTATTTCTTTTATGAGACTGGTTAAAAATCCCAAGCATGACAATGCTGTTAACAAGGTTCTGGATAAATAAGCATTCAGACCTTGCTTGTGTATGCCAATAATTGTACAGCCATTATAGAGGTGAATTTGGAAATACATAGCAAAATTCTGTAATATTCATTCAGTCTCCTATTCCATTTCTAGGAAACCAACCTCAAAGGTACACTGGCAAGCATAAAAAAATGTCTTAACGCACAACACTATTGTAACTAATGCTCCAATGAACAGTCAACAACTGAACACACCCTATAGATGTACCATTTAAGACAGATTAAATAAACTATAGCACATTCCTTACACTGGAATAGTATGCAGCTATAAAAATAAGACATTTTCATGCAGATGAATGCCTGTGTAGGCAGAGTACAAATATATACACATGAAAAATATTTCAGTCATTTTCAAAACCCCCCAAAATTATTAAAAACCAAAAGCAAAAACAAACCTAAACCTATCGAGTTGGTGGTATAACAATACAGAGAATTATTTCAAATGACTTTACTTAAAAGATTTGTGACTGCATACCTTGGAATGCATACTAAGGTCAAAAAGAACTATTAAATTTTAAATTGTATTCAGTACAGGGAACTGATCCGTGTGGTATGGGAATGTAGACAGCTCCCACTTGGAAAAGCCAGTGGGAAGCGAGGTCTGACACACAGGAACCATGCCCATGACAGGTTCTCCCATGGGGGATCAGGCCTGCATTGTACCTAGGCTAATACAAGGCTTGTTTTTGCTAAAACTCCCTCACCCTGGATTGAGGCAGAGAATGTTTATTACATATTTCTAAAGTTACTTCCTAAAATCTGTGCTAAACTTCCCAAGTATGGAGTGTAACCAGTTCAACCACTTTCCCCCCTTGATCTGCCCTTTGAATTAGCAACATTCTTTCCTTTGTTATCTGTAAAAGATAGTCACCTACAGTGAACCTGTGCATAGTAAATGAGGACCATCCTCAATGTAATATACCCCCAAAAAACAATAAAAGCCTGTCCAGGTAGGGGTCGGCCCCCGCCCCCCTCTTAGAGAGCAGCCAGGCCACCCCCTTTTCCCCACAGGACTTCTGTTGTCTGTATTTGTTTACTAGCAGCCCGAACATATATGGATCCTGCAGGTCAGGGTCCACATCAATTCAGTACCTTTAATATTGTTAATCATACTGACAACTCTATGAACCTATGAAAGTTTCAAAATGATAATCTGAGTTATCATGTAATTGGAACCAAGTTTTTTTACTGTAAAAGGTAGAAATATAAAATCAAATCAGTTAATATAACCCCTATAATCTCAAATTTTAATTGGCAATATTGGTATGAATTTCTTTACAAAAATGTATGTATTTCTTAGCTTTGTCTACAGGAAAGGCCCAGGAGTATCAGACACCTAACCAACTTATATAACTCAAATACGGTAAGTGCATCTTATTTGGATTTTGATTCAAACCAACCATTAAGTCTTTAACAAATACACAAATTGAAATATTTATGGATGAAATGAAATCATGGCTAAAATTTACTTTAAAATACTCTAGCAAGCAAAAAAAAAGTTATGAGTGGGAATTCAATATACTGTTCCAGTTATGCAAACTAATACATTTATTGAGAACATTCACTAGGACATTTAATACATACTGTATTACTTACTGTAAGTTACCAAGTAACATTCCTAAATCTCTTTCAGTTTCCCCATTCCAAAACAATCTCTCTCATGAAGTTACAGAGCTAAGAATTCAGAAAAAAGCATGGTCACAAAAAAAATCTAACTTACCATTATTTTGCTCAACTGTCATTAGATTATGCTTGGCTTTTACTGAGGCCTCAAATGTATCCACATTTTCTCGTTCATACTCTTTAACATCAGCAGCTACCCTTTCCAGAATGTCATCTGGAGAAGGTGACCGTGTCCGAGTACTGCTCTGGGGGCTACTGGGTTCAGATGGCACAGACATATTGCTATCTTCAGCAAGATATTTATATTTCTGTAATAATAATACAACACATTACTTTAATAAAATCTGATGTTATCTAAATATATCTGCTATGAGGTACTTTATAGAGTCATATGTTAAAACTTTTTAAACAATATTGATGCCTTGACTGAATCAGATCCGCAATCCCTTATATAATTCCAAAACCCACAAAACTCTAAAATAGTTTACTATGTATGGTATACATTCATTAAGTGGCAAAACTGACGAAAACAGATGTGACACTATTTTATATTCTTCTTTATCTCCCCCAGCATGAACATAATATGCCTTGCTACAGAAATATGCATGTATTTGATGATGGGGTGCTGTTTTAGACCCCACTGACGGGGCTACTATACATAGATGCACCATATTACCTTTCTAAAATTCAAATATTTCTGAGTTCTGAAGCACATCTGCCCCCAAGGGTTGGAGATAAGGGATTGTGGACCTGGGCAAGAACAAAGAAATTTCAACCAAGTCTTTAGGAAGATCAATTCAATAATAATAATTTCATCAGTGTCTCAGAAAAGTTAAGTTTTCTCTGGAGTTCCAGTTTTGCTCTACAGCCAGCCTCTGGTGATTAAAGTTCTTTCCTTCACTCTGACACACCATTACCTGTTTTATGGTTTGTTATGCATGTTTAGGTGAGCTACCACAACTGTTCTTTCCTTTTGTCTGCTGCCCTCCTTATATTATGTAAACATTTTTCATATCTTTCAGAATTCTTCCTTTCAACTCCACACACTCACTTTCCCATCATTAGCAAAAAGTCTCCTAATGATGCTGACAGAAGGCACTTTATAGGGTCTGCCACCCATAAAGGATCTAGTGGTCATGGCTTTGTGCCAGGATTGCCGAGGAAGAACTGACAATCTTCCAAGGCAGCTCACCTTATAATTCATTAAACAACTACATGAAGACTATGTACAACACTTTCCCCACTCAATTTTTCAATTGCCTAATTCTAAACTAATCTTAAAATTATTTTTGAGATGTTCCATTTAAACAATTAGATATTAAGAAGTTTGATTTCTTTCAAATAGTAACAGGCATAATTTTTTGCTAAATGAAGTTCCTACGATTTATCCTACACTTATTTATGAAGGTTTTCCTGTTCATTAACTTAAAAAGCAAACTTCAGATTTTTGTCTTACAAAAGAGATTTGTATCAATCCTATTAATAACAGAAAGGGTAAACATTTCAATTTTATTAAGAAACAATCTTTTTTTAAAAGACCCATTGAATTGCTACTACTGTCACTTCTTTATTAAGGTAAAAAACCTTTTATTTTACTAAAATATTAATTATTTAAAAAGGATTGATCAAAATTTTACTAAAATCACATACCTGAACAATTGCTTGCCTTTGTATTCTTCTCTGTTCTATTAATGCCTCTTCATCTTCTTCCTCTACATCAAAGTCTTCAAGGCTTAAAAAAGTTAACACATATATACATATAATTAATTTTAAACACCCCTGGATATTCCAACACCATAATTTTATGCTTTAAAAATAAAAGCTGGAAAATGTAGGTCATCAGTAAGTTTGAGCAAAAGTCTCAAGCTATCTTACCCTCTTTATCTTTGTTTCTAAAACTCAGTGTCTGGTTTGAAATCCTTGGAAGTAATTTAACCTTCTGTGTCTCATTTTTACCCTTATCTGTTTCATGGCACCAAAATGAAGAACAAAGGATCCTTAAATTAAAAAAGTGTCATCACTGGCTCTGTCATGACCTTAGTATTATTAGTCATTTCACCTCTCTATCCTCAGTTTCCACACCTATAAAACAAGAGGGCCAGCACAGATATATAAGGTACCTTTTCTGGGTCACAGAACCTTTTGAAAGCTAGAGACCCTTTTCCATCGAAAGTGCACACGTAAACATTAGCATACAATGTGAAGAGGAGTGGCTCTATGTCCTAACACTGACCCAGACCAGTCCTAACCGTCTACTAAAAAATCCCTACACTACCTTCATGATCCCTCCCAGTGCAGCTTTTTCTGTGGTCTGCTGAACGTCCACTGGACTATGAAGGGGTTAGGAATCTATGTATAACACCTTTCCCCAATTCAACTTTCTCATCACCTAGCTTTAATCGGAGTTTCTTGTCCTTAGCACTACTGACATTTTGACAGTTCATTATGGGGGTTGTCTTGTGCACTGCAGGATGTTTAACAGTATCCCTGGCCTCTAGTCACTGGATGACCTAAAATATCTTCAGACATTGCCAAGTGGGGAAGCAAATCACTTCCAGTTGAGAACCACTGCTCTAAACTAGTCTTACTTATTTTTGATATGTTTTATTTACACAACTAAGTTTGCATTTAGATAAAATTTCCCTGCTGTATTATTAAACACTGAAATGTTTCTGCATTTTCCACATTTTAACATGCGTATCTGCCACCAGATAGCCTCAGTTGCAAAGTATGTATCGTTTTACAAACTAAAAAGTCTATAAACTTAATATATAAATTTCCCCTCACAAAACTGGTATTAAGGTTGGCTAGATTAGCCCTGGCTACTTTGGCTTAGAGGACTGAGTGCTGGCCTATGAACCAAAGGAACGCCGGTGTGATTCCTAGTCAGGACACAGGCCTGGGTTGCAGGCCCGATTCCCCAGTGGATGCGTGCAAGACACAACCACACATCAATGTTTCTCTACCTCTCTTTCTCCCTCCCTTCCTTTCTGTCTAAAAATAAATAAATAAAATTTTAAAAGATTGGTGAGATTATCTAACATATCTATTGTTTCTAAAAAAAAAAAAAAATTAAGGGAAAGCTCGTCATAAAGTAATGGCCCAATATTTACTCTAGCCAAAACGGAAACATCTAAATTAAAAAAACCATGACCTCTGTCATAGATCCTATAAAATATGCAGATTAACTTTTCAATTCAGAACCAAACAAATGGACTCACTATATTTAGGTGGAAAATAAAGATTTACGTAAAACAGTGTTTCTCTAAATTGAAAAAGAAAACATGGGAAAACGTCACTCTTACTTATCTTCAGAAGATGATTCTTGCTCAACCTTCATTCCTTCAGAAAGACTTCCTTTAAATTTATCTTCCTTTACTTTGCTTCTGCTCCTACGTCTACGACCACCCCGTGATCGAGACCGCCTTCTCATGCGTGATCTGCTCCTCCGACCTCTGTCCCTATTTGAAAATAGGGACACACATATATACACACACATATATACACATACACACACAATTTTTTTAAGGTTAAAATTGGGAAGGCTGCGCTGTGTTGCGAGCATGGGTATACAGAACTGTACTTTTCAAAAGCTCAATTTTGCTGTGAACCTGAAACTGTTCTAAAAATAAAGTATTAAAGAGTCAGTTAAAATTTTAAAGGAAAGTAAAATATTATCAGAAAGGTTGGATATAATCAGCTTAACTGAAAATAACTAAAACATAGCTACTCTACTTACTGGCTATAAAAGAGCACAGAGAACTATGGGGATAACAGAAATGTTCTATATCTTGTCTGTGGTGATTATATAGCTCCGTTTGTCAAAACTTACTACTTGACACCAAAAAAAATGAATTTATTTTACATGTTTCATGTTTCAATAAACCTGATTTTAAAAAAGATCTCTGTTGGTAAGTTATGGGAAGAACAAATGAGATAAAAATCCCAAGTTTAATTGATATGGTCCTCAGACAGTTTTTTATAAATGCCCAAAGGTTATATGCCTCATGTTAGACAAACAGAAACTGTTATTATAGTTCAAGTATTAATGGTGAAGTTTATATTAAAAGGATGTAGAACTCCAAACACGTAGGCTGTAAGTCTAGAAAGGAGTGGCGAACTCCCTGTTAACCACATCCGATAACCATGTTTATCTCAGATTTCTTCTCAAGGCTCACTAAAAGCACAGCGAAAGGAACAATTAAAAAAAATCTTTAGCCAAAGAAAATGAAGAGCCACGACAGCCAAGATACTAACAAAATCTTGAAACACACAAATTGAAAAGAGTAGTTAAAGATGAAATGTAAGGACAAAGTAAAAAACAAGTAGTGCATGCCACAAAAGCCCAGAAAGCCTCAAGAATTGGAGATACTATGTCCTCTGAAGGATAAAGCATGAGATAAAAGCTAAAAAGAACTGGCTGCAAGCCGATGGTTAGACAGTTTGACTATATATTTTATTCCTGGCTCAACAAAAAATGACAACCACGCACCCTCAAGTTCTGGCAGAATACTTAAGATTTTTTTATAGAGAGGTGCTGGTTGTAAAAACTAGCCCAAGGTACCAGGGAGGCACTCTACTGAATACAGGATTAAGAGGAAGTTTATATAATGAAGGACCAAAAAGGACTACATACTGCTGAACAGTTTAGTACCAATCATGCCTGCCAGTCACAGCACATTAAAAAAAAAAAAAAAAGGTGGGGGAGGGGAGAGCAAGTCCTATAAAATCTGACACCAGAATAGGTATTCTAAATAGCAATACTGGAAACTAGAAAACAGTGGAATAACAACGTCAACATTCTCTTTTTTGGAGTAATAAATGACTATTTCAAAATTCTTAAGAAAAAATGATGTCAACCTGGAGTTCTATTCCTCGACACTTCAGCAATGGGAATAAAAGGCATTTTTTAGAGACATAGATCCTTCCCATGCACTTCCCTCAGGAAGTTACTGGAGATTCATCACCAAAGCAAAGGGGTAACACAAGTAGGCAATGGATACAGAAAATGGAATCACAGCAAAAGGAAAACAAGGGAATACCAAGAGGATAGGAAAACAAATTCTACAATGATAACTGTATAAGCAGGACTATCAGTTTGGAGCCAGAAGGCTAGAAGCATTAGAATAAAGGCCCTCTATTTGCTCGGTAAGGAATAACATGGTTATGATCATAATAATGATGATATCTGGAAGCACACAGAAAGGTGACAAAATCAGGCAGAAGAGAAACATGTGAGGGGCAATATTAAAGACCAATTGTCCGAAGTAAAAAATCAATAGATAATATGGCAATAACTTTAAAACATTTAAACATATACATGCTTATTAGATAAAGCATTTTCTACTTTAGAAATCTAGGATACAAAATACTCAGATTTATGTAAAGATATATCCAGTGGTTGCAATATAGGTCTTTGGTGTACTGTCTCTTTAAGCTGTAGTCCTGTATTGTTTCAATTAAAAATGTTGAAAGATTGGCAAATGAACATCCATTAATGTTTTGGGTGAAAATATTTAACATATATGTTATTTTAAATCGATTCCCTGCTTTAAAAGCCAACTTCTGGATTAACCAACTACTGACTACATGTGCTTCACATGAACTGGTTTTTACTACTGTAACGTAGGTCTTTGCCCAGTCTTTCCCACCTGCTGAGGCTGTCATCTAGAGGCTGTGTTCTTAACAGAAATATAAGTATGGAACTGTAAGAAAGAAAAGTTGGCTGCTATGATCCATACAATTAGTTAAAAAAAAAAAAAAAAGCCCTAAGCCTAGGCTCATTTAATATTTATCTCTCAAAAACAGAGAAAAAAATGTCCTACTTTTAAAAGACTTAAGTTTTTGATGAATACTGATTTATTTAAATTTGAAGGAAAACTACATCAAACATTCAGAATTTAATGAATCTTTACCTTCTCCGAGGAGACCTGCTTCTTCTTCTGGGAGACCTGCTACGCCTGAGTGGGGAGCGAGATCTCCTTCTAATGGGAGATCTACTTGCTCTTCTTCGGGTTGGAGACCACCTGCTGATGGGACTGGCATCTTTTGACCTCTCACGTCTACTGAGGATATCATCTCGAGGTCGTGTTCTTAAGGGGAACAAATACAAGTTAATAGGAAAATAAATTAAGTCAAAATAAATAAATTTCTTCTACATGTAATAAACATCTTAAAAAAAAAGATTTTTGAGAGCGAGAGAAAGGGAGAGAAGAGAAACACTGATTTTTGTTTCACTTTACTTGTGCCCTGATGAGGGATACAACCTGCAACCTTGGTATATCAGGACAATGCTCTAACCAACTGGGCTACCCAGCCAGAGCTGTAATGAACATTTCAGGAAAAGGGCATGCCATTGCAGTGATTTATAAAAATCCGCTTTTGTGCTTTTAGGTATTACTCTACTCTCCTAACATGCATGTTTATAACTCTTGGAATAATGCAAAAATGTTCTTAAGAAAAAATTCTGTCTTTCCAAAATGTTTGTTAAAAGGAAGACACCTTTAAAAATAAATGTTTACAGTGCTTGCTTTGGCAGCACATATGCTAAAACTGGAATGATACAGAGAAGATCAGCATGGCCCTGTGCAAGAATGATAAGCAAGTTCATGAAGCATTCCATATTTTAAAAAATAAATACATGCAATAAATGTTCACAATGTTAAAAATAAGGGCATGCTAAAGATAGTAAACACAAATTAGCACTTTGTAACAAAACTTAAATTCAAATGATTACAATGATGTTTTGATGTTATGGTAGGCACAAAGAAAAAAAGGCTTTTTACTCTGGTCTCAGAATTTACATCGTTAGAGATTATTCTTATGGTCAACACCACTGGTTCTAATCCTAGATAATCAACTCAAAACTTCCCCAAGGGAGTGGTAATATTTCATTTCCCTAAGTTTAAAGACTTGTTTTATTTCTAAATTTTGACGTTTGTAATTGAGCCTTATTTTTAAAGTATCAATTACGTATAATAGCATCTTATAATCAATATTACCTTACAACAGGGGAACTATTAGGTAAGGGTTTAAGGAAAAGGATAGTCCATCTAGTCATGAAAATACATATTGGTATAAATTTCCCAGAAAGAAATCCAGCAATAACTTTTTAAAAGTCAGACTCTGCAATTTCACTTCTGTGAAACTATTCTACAAAGAAACCTCACACATAACCCATGGACATTTTTGCACACAATCATAAAAAAAACTAGAATCAACCTAAATTCTTATCAGTTTCAACAAGAGAATAATTAAATGTATTATGGCACATCTACACTGTGAAATATGTTGCTGTTACATAAAGAATTTTAAAATGTCTTCATGTATTATCAGAGAAGTGTTTGATAAAAAAGGGCTGGAAAGACAGATCCCCATGACAGCAGAATAGAGAGGGAGAGAATTTACATGCTTCTGCATTATTTAAATTTCTCCTTAGTTACTCTTTCTTCTGGAATTCAAAGCATATTTTTGTTTCAAAAACTGGACTCCAATCCTTAATAAACTCTTCAAAATATCACAACTGATTGCAGATTGAAACAGACCAGGATCATTTACTAACACGTTAGGACCTGGCCAGGTGCTCAGTTGGTTAGAGCATCATCCCAATACGCTAAGGTTGCAGGTCTGATACCCAGTCAGGGAGCATACAAGAAGTAACCAATGAATACATAAATAAGTGGGACAACAAATGGATGCTGCTCTTTCTCCTTTCCTTCCTCTCTCTAAACTCAGTAATTAAAAGAAAAGAAAAAAAACGCTTTAGATAACATAATTAGTAACATGAACAACTGTCTCAACACAGGAAAGCTAAAGAAAATGGGCCATTGTATTACAATGTAACTTAGAAGTAAAGAATAAACAGTACCTCTTAAAAATAAAGCTCTTTGAAAAGAGTATTCTTGATATTTCTTGAAAAATTACAAACCCTGGCTTATATTTATACCCATACACAGTAAATGTTAATAGGCAACAATAAATGGCTATGAATTCACATCCCTACACAGAATAAGCCAACATGCTTTTAACTGAAACTTGGCTGACAATTTCATATGCTTCATCACTGAATATAAAGATACTAAAAGACCTGTTTCTTGAGTTTAACTAGTCTAAACAACTTCCCACCATTCCCTATCAAAATCCTTTCTATGCCTTATTACTTCCATGATCCTAGTTAAATAGGCAATCTAATTTTTTCATTTCATTCATTAAGTACAAGTTATCCACCTCATGAAGAGAGAATCACAAGCATTTATGAGGAAAGAAGTGATGGACTAAATGTATTATACAAATATGATTATTTTCATTATTATTAGTAAAAAAGTAAAATAATTTCTTACACCATTCTACCAAAATTTAAGAGGTTTTTTTGCAACAATTGGTTATAAGTAAATATATGATGAATTAATAACAAAACATTTTTCTGCTTTTAATTTTATTGTATTTTGGGCTAAAAAAATTATAGTTCCAATTTATATTGTTAGAATTCAAAATCATGCCAATTCAAGAGAATAGACAGATCACAATCCTTAAAATTGACATGTCCTTTTTTAAAGTTTAAAATGTCAGCCTATACTGTTCAATGAATAATCCTCGCTAGAAACTATACCCCTTCCATAAATGAGTATACAGAGCTTTACGTGCCAAATTACTTGGACTTAAGGAATGGGTCTATAAATTAGATACTACATTAAGAACTTGAAAACAAAAACTGTGTCTGTCACCAAGTTAAATGTTTGCAAACTGCCCATAATTAAGATACACAATGACAAAATTGCAAATAAAAACTCATTACTATCTCATCTTTCATCATCCACAAGTTCTAGTTTCTCCTTTAAAATTTGGTGCACTGGCAAAAAGCAGTAACATTTTGAAAACAAGTTACCTTGGGGAAGAAAGTCGTCTCCTTTCTGGTTCTCTTCGTTTTCTTTCCAAAGATCGACTCTTGGCTCTTCTACCAGGAGACAGAGTTCGAGAAGGAGATTTGCTCTGTTTAGACCTCCTATCATTTAAAAGTGGAGATCTACTTCTTCTTGATTTATCACGTTGTTTTGGAGATAAGCTCCTTCTTTTAGGACTACGACCAGGCCTTCTACTGGGTGACCTATTTTCTTTCCCAGAAGAAGCATCTTTAGAAGGAGATTTAATTGGCTTCTTTTCCTTATCAGTTTCGGACCTTTTTGATTTTCTCTCTTTGGACCGTGACCTTCTGTCTTTGGATTTACCTCTTAAGTCAACTGGGGATCTGGATTTTTTGCTTCGATCACGATTTCTACTCTCATTTATAACTGGGGATTTTTTTCTGTCTTTTGACTTACTTTTATCTTCAATTTTAACTTTGTCATCAGCAGGAGATCTGGCCTTCCCAATTTTCTCTTGAGATCGCCTTCTAAGGGTAGGAGATTTTGATTTTCTTGTTTGATCTTGAGACTTACTTCTTTTGGATGGACTTTTGGACTTTTTCCTCTCCTTTGATTTGCTCCTAGTTGTCTTTTCTTTAATTATTTCAATACCTCCCTTACCTTTCTTTTTGTCAGACCTATGTCTAGTCCGTTCTTTGGATCTGCTTTTACTTCGCTTTTTTGTACTATTTTTATTGTCCATAATTTCAAGTTTCCCCTTTGTAGTTGAAGATCTAGTACTAGACCTATTTCCATTTCTTGCCTTTTCATGAATTTCCCCCTCTTCTTCAGAGCCAGATTCATAACCTTGTAATATGAGCCCCATCCCCGACTGGACCTTTCCTTCCATTAACTCATTATCAAGTTCAGCTTTAATCAAGGCTCTCTGTTTCTCCAAGTCTTCCAGCAAAGCTAAATCATCAAGTTTAGTTCTTTTTGCTGGAGACATACCTTCTTTGTCAGAAGCATCAATAACCTCTTTTCTTTTGTGTTTCTTATGTTTATGCTTATGTTTATGTTTTTTATCCTTGTCTTCTTCTGAGGAATGTTTATGCTTCTTATGTTTACTTCTGTGTTTATGCTTCTTTTTTTTGTGACGACTGTGCTTATTTTGAGATTGGTCTTCTGATACTTCTCCATTTTCTTCATTTATACTTTTTTCAGAATTATCAGCATCTTCCATCCTACAAATATATCAAAATCATATCATTTATCAAACATTCACGGTCATAACAAAATAACACTAAAATACATCTCATACATATCATTGAAACATTTTATTTTTTAAAAAGAAAATTTTATTTACCTATTTTTAGAGAAAGGAAAGAAACATCAATGTGTGGTTGCCTCTTGCATGCTCTCCCCCGCCCAGACCTGACCTACGACCCAGCCAGTCATGTGCCCTCACCAGGAACTGACCCTTTGGTTCACAGGCTGGCACTTAATCCACTGAGCCACACCAGCCAGGACACACATAAAATATTTTCGTAACAGCTTCAGACACTGATTTGCACAGCATGTGGCAAGAAGTGAGTCAAACAGTGATTTAACCTTCAATATGGTGCTAGTGGTTGAACCCAAATACCGAAAGTATTAGAGGAAATACATAGTAAAGAGGTCAAAATAATTATACTTAATAGGAAAAGAGAATCCAAACCAGGTAAAATGTTAGTACCAATTACTGAAATAGTCACTCAGTAACTTGATTTTAAACCAGTATTTCCCACAAAGACTTAACACCAAAAACATCCTCCATTTTCTTTTCTCCCCCCCCCCGTAAAACACATAGATGTATCTTGGAAGACTAATCTCTTTCTCCACTTGAAATTCAGAAGCATACTTAAAAAAAAAAAAATCTCTGGGGCCAATATTGAGCCACACCCAAAATAAGCACTCCACCATATGCACCAGTGGTTGATGCTGACAGTAACCCTCCAAGGGTTAAAACTTCAAAGTAAACTGACCAGAAGTTAGGACTCTTGGCCTGTAGCAGCCACTGAGCAAGCTTGTGGTTGAACCACTTTAAACGGTCTTCTGTAGGTCAATGATAGTACAAAATGGGCAATTTCACATGGTCCAACACAGTATTTGTTCAGTGTACTATTATAATTGAAGTTTCAAATGAAGAGATTAGTTTCCCAAAATATGTTCATAATAATAGGTGGCTCTGTGCTTAACTGTTTGGGCTATCCTGAGTTTATGATGCTAAATTATTTTGCTAAATTCTTGATGTTCAATATTCCCAGGTTAAACAAAGACTACAACAGCAATATTTTAATTTTACCCTTTAAAGACACTCCATACTAAATCATTACTCCCTAGAATGAGACCAAAATCAGACTTGTTTATTTGAATTTGGGCCATCATACTATTTTTGTAGGAAAATATGAATTATTTAGTCAAAGCCCTTCAAATTATACACTCCTATACTTATTAAAAGTACTTACTAAAAGTACTTTTTTATGCTATATACTACAAATAGCTCCTTGTAACTTAAGAATTAATCAATCTAATTCAATCTGTTAGTATTTTAAAAAATCACCTGTACTTGAATATAGACATTAAACCAGGTAGCAGGAAAACAAAGATGAAAAAGACTGGCCTCCCTCAAGAAAATTACAGTCCAAAGGAAAAGAAAGTGTAACGATAATGACATGAATAAGGGCATTATGGGAACACTGAAGCTTCACCTAAAATCATTTTGAAAATGATCAAAGGGAGTATCTTGTATGAGATTACAGAGAAACCTAACCTATCTGTTAAGCACGAACTTTGGAAATAAGAAATGTTTATTGGAGCCCCGGCTGGTATAGCTCAGTGGATTGAGCGCGGGCCTGCGAACCAGATAATCGCGGTTCGATTCGCAGTCGGGGCACGTACCCGGGTTGCAGGCCGGTTCCCTGCAGGCCAATTCCCAGCAGGGAATGCATGAAAGGCAACCATACATTGATGTTTCTCTCCCTCTCTCCTTCCCTTCCCCTCTAAAGATAAATAAATAAAATCTTAGGAAAAAAAAAAAAAGAAATGTTTATTGGGAAGGTACATGAGCTGAAACACTGTCCTAGAGAATGAGTAAAAAATTAACCAGAAGGAGAAAGGCACAGTGTAAGGGGAAAAAAATGACAGCCCCCCCAAACCATAGTTACATATAACAAACCATAAACAGATCGTTATTGTCAAGGCATCAAACTTGTGAGAAACTGGTCTAATGAAGGTTAAGATCTCAATGGACTAATTCCAGATGACAAGATATATAGTATGAGATTCTGGCAGCGAGTGGTTGAGATAGAGTTACAGAGTCACTAGAGTCAGAGACTCAGGAACCAAAAGATAAAGTTGCTGGATGGGGTGTCTGTAAAAACACTGCCATTATAGCAGGGGTTGAAGAAAAGTCTGGCCCTCCAGCCAGAACTGTGTTCAATGAAGGACATACTGGAGGTATGCTTTAAAAGTTTTCAGTTGACAATGAGGGGGTATGCAGAATATGGAGAACATAACTACCACATGGCAAGAACTTTGAATTTTTTAGATGCCGGACTACCAATCTTCATTTCTGGTAATATTGAGTGTGGGAAAGAAAAAAGTACTAAAAGAGAGCTGCAGAGGAAGCTGCGTCTTTTGTTGAGTGAGGTTTAAGTTTACTTGTTTCTAACAGGGTAAGAGGAAACGGGATAAATATAGTAGTATTCTCTGGACTATGAAACATTTTCAAAAGACTTGGAAAAAGAAAGCGTAACGGCTTTGTATTAAGAAAAGACCAATATGGTTCAATTGTGTAGGGGGGAAAATCACAGATTTAGGTAGAAGATACACAGACATTTCAACTTTGTTCTTTATATAGACTATACCCACATATGGGCAACCCTTCCCCAGAAATCTCCTATCCCACAATACCCCAAATAATTTAATCATGCCCTCCCACAAGAAAAATCTGCTCTTTGAACCCTTTTCTAAGTCTTTCTATAATTTCCAAGTCCTCCAAGAAGTTTCACTGAAAATCCTTAAAAGCTTACCAACTTAATCTAACTCCTAAAACAGGGGTGTCAAACTCATTTTCACCAGCGGCACATCAGCCCTATGGTTACCTTCAAAGGTTCGATGGTAATTTTAGGACTGTATAAATGTAGGTACTCCTTAATAGTTAAGAAAGAGCTCAGCGCTGCCACAGGGTAGAAACAAGGTGCCAGGCCAAATAAAACAAGGTGGAGGGCTGGATTTGGCTCATGGGCCTTGTGCTTGCTACCTGTGTCCTAAAACTTCTGAGAATCAGGAACTCAGACGCTCAGTGTTATCTGAGTCATTCCCAGGAGTGACCCCAGTTTCTATTGTAATTTGATAAATGTTATCTCAAGAAATGCGGAGGTTACTGATAAGAATTCTGTAAGCATTTTAGGGCCAGCTAGGTTTACCTTAAGAACCTTAGAGTTGCCCCACGCTAAAGTACCCTCTTCAGTTGATCTCTAAGGCAAATTTTATAGAAAATAGCAATTGAAGTCTGACTAGGTAAATTAGGAAAACTTGAACTTGATGAATCCGTGGCATAACATATTACATATAATGAGTTTGTGCTAAATCAGCTAATTTAGTTTCATTAGTAACAACTATCTTCTAATGTTTTAGGGAAAAGTTTCTTGTTAAGAAACATGATACCACCATCACAAGAAGGGTAAGTACACAAAACATTCTGAGAGCCAGACACCACACTCATATAACTTTTATAACAATACTGCCATAATTGTTATACTTTATTGTTGTTAATCTCAACTTTATCATAGCTATGTATATACAGGAAAAAACAGTACTGGTATACTTTCAAGATATTACTGGTTTAGTTCTACACCACCAAAGTACAGTGAATATTGCAATAAAGTGAGTCATAAAAATTTTTTGGTTTCCCAGTGCATGTAAAAGTTATGTTTACACTATACTTTACTAAATGTGCAACAGCACAGTTTTTTTAAAAAGTATATTTCTCAATTAAAAAATACTTTATTGCTAAAAATACTAATCATCAGCTGAGCTGTTAAAATAATAACATCAAAGATTACTGGTTACATATCACCATAAAATAACACTAAAGTCTGAAAGTGTGAAAATTACCATAATGTGACAGACACACAAAATGAGCAAATGTTGGAAAAATGGCACCAATAGGATTTGCTCAAGGCAGGCTTAGTACAAAACTTCAACTTGTAAAATGCAGTATCTGTGAAATGGAATAAAGTGATGTATGCCTGTATATACAGAAGTTGGTACTATCTATGTTTTCAGGTATTTACTACGGGCCTTGAAATGTATCCTCTATGAAAAAGGGGGATCACCATATAGAAATTCCATGTGTACAAATTTACATTTTATAATTTAACACTACACATTTGGCAGGTGTATGTCTAGAAGAGGTTTGTCATAAAACAATACTGACTGAGAGCTGATTAATATCCTTAATATCATACTATTTGAAAACAAAGCTGAGTTAAGAGTGCAGGCAACACGGGAGCATTTAACAGTATTTATTCATTTCTTTTGTCAAATGACATGTATCAGTTTTACTGTTCAAACAACTGAGGTCTTGGGGCATCTGGCACAACAGAAATAGCCATGAACAACTTTAAAATAAAGTGACCAGTTAACAGCAGCAAGTGTGATGTTAACTTCCTTTTTTCACATTTTTTTAAAAAAAATATTTTTGGACATCTTATTTGGAAAGCATTCAATTTGTGCTTTGGTGACAGAATGGTGAGCAAAATGAATGCCATTGCTTCTTTTACAAGGAAAGTAATTAAACCTATTTCTCTAACAAGTTATACTACTTTAATACAGAAGTGATGAAGATATAAAATAAGAATGACTCTAAAAGACCAACTGTTCTTAAAATGAACTCCTTGACCCATGTATTTTCCAAATCAGGTTTGGGATTAAGTTTCAAAGAACTGGAACTATCACATCAAAAAGCAAATCTTCCTGGCACCCTGGAAATAAGTAAAAATGATTTCAAACCTTAAAGGCTATTTTTAAAAGGGGCCACAATTTGGTAGACCACACTATACAATAAGTAGGAGCAGGGTTCTAGAACCAGACTTCCATGGTTTAAATCTTGGGTCTGTTACTTAGTGCAACTTTGGGCAAGTTAACTTAATTTTTCTGTACTTCAATATCATGATGTATAAAACAGTATCTACTGTTGCAGGGATATTATAAGTTCATATTTGTTCAGTGCTTGGAACAGTACATAGTACTTGGAAAGTACAAAAAAGCAATAAGTCAATGCATATTAAAATGCAAATGTTTAAAATCCAAAAGGCTGAGCTAGCTCATGAGACTGACAGATGTAAAAGCACTAAAAAGCATTCAAGAAGCTTAAAACTGTTTTTTATATTCATTTTTTTCTAAATGTTCTACCCTGAATAGATTCCATATAAACTTCTGAAGTGTCCTCTAAAGAACTGTTCAGACACTAAAGTATATCCAGCATTCACTATGAGTAGCATACATAGTACTTACTTTCATATCGAGCTATTATTTACTTTGCTAAATGTTTTCTAATAATTGAAAGTGGAACACATATAGACCAAATATTCCATTTATACCTAATGTTCTGTGGGGGATGGGAGATAGAATTAAAGACTATCTCAGTGTCATTCATATTGCAGAGGCCTAAATAAAATTATTTATTATTATTAAATCTAGTATTTGAACATATAAATAAAGTATGGCTGAACTGTCCCTAAAATCAGATGAATGGGCACAGTACTCTTAAACAGATTACTTAGAATAATCAACGAAATAGCATAAGATTTTTACTGTACTGTCATAAATACTGTAATTGCACACACTGTGAACTCGATGAGAAACAAAGAGACAAAATCTAGTTAAAATTTTAGAATCCATTTGCTGTAAGTCAAATTGTGAAGATAATAAAGCAAATTCCAAAAGTCTTTAATGAAGAACTTTACTATCTAGCTCAGTAGCGCAAATTACTGGAGTCCAACTGGTTGCACAGCAATGAAGTGTGGGGCTGTGTCTGGTGGCCAAGATTTCTCCTCTCTCAATCCCAAATTGCTGGGAGACTTGATCTACCTCTTTCCTAAAATGGCTGAAAACAAATCAGATAATGCTGTGCAAAAAACGGTCGAAATAGGAATACTATTTTAAAACTCATTCTCTTTTATGTCCTTGTTTGAATTTTCCTAGCATAAACACGAAAAACAAAATACTGATTTCAGTTAAGTAATGTTTAGCCTCTGCAATATATACAGCTATGTTTTCACTTGGCCGCGTCGATCCTCACATTAGCTTAATTATACACAGAGTGCTTGAATTTGGAAGGAGCCAACAATTTGCACTACTTTCAACCATACTCCCAAAGACGCGTTATAAACTCAAGCCAAAAATGTCAGGCCTCAAAACCAAGGACTTGGTCTTACTTTGCTTCACGTTTACAAGTTAGCAAATAAACTGCCAATGGGCAGGAGTGAAAATACCGGGTGGATACTGGAGTAACGAATACAAGGGCAGAGAGATGAAGTGTACAAACTACAGCTTTGAGATGGTCAAAGAGAGTGACCCTAGCACCCCTTCTCTCCGCTTTCTGGTTCTAACGCTGCCAACAGTAGCAGGACGACCGAGGTACTGCAGGCGGAAGGAAGAAAATCTTAGGGCTGGCCCGGGTGCCGCACTGTTCCTTGGATACCCAACACCGATGCTGCTGAGTGCTGCGGCTACGGAGCTCCGCTCGGTTCCCTTGGGAGGAAGAGGAAGGTGGGACCGTACGGTCCCGGCAGCCGCCTAGAGCACAGGACCTGTAGAGGCCGCTCGCGCCTGTGCCTCTCTGGGCACCGACGCGCGGCAGGCCGCAGCCGCCTTAGACCCAACAGACGCGGCCTCCGTGAGAGTGTAGCACGCAGACCGCCCGTCCGCACCCCACGCTTCCCGCTCCGCAACATATTGAGCGGGGAAAGGCAAAGTTTGGCTCTCGGCGTTAGGCCAGAACTTTCCCGCCCGCCCGTGCAAATCCCCACCGTTTGCCACTCGGCAGTCCCCAAGCTCCGGCCTTTCGTACCACTCAGAGAGACTACTTACTCTGGCTGTTCCCGCAAAGACTGAGTCTCCGCGGCGGCCATCTTGAACTTCCTGACTCCTCGGCGACGGTGGCGGCGGCTGCCCGGACGGTGGCGGCTTGTGGAAGTGGAAGAAGAGAGAGCAGAGCTATCGCGCATGTGCTAAGCACGTCGGGAACCGCGGAGCTTTGAGTCCGCTCTAAGAATCCGGAAATAAAAGTGCATCCGGGGACAAGGCGAACCAGCGTGCTGACGCAACTTCCCCGGACCACGGGGCAGGAGGAGGTGTAGGTGGTGCTTGCTAATTGGGGCCGAGTGATTTAGGCTCGCGCTCTAGTCTTGTTAGGATTGGCTCACTACATCTCTAGGCTTGTTGGCGATGGGTGCAAAGGGAGTGGGATGCTGGTATTCTGTGTAGGGTTGCGGCAACTAGTTTTACTGTGGGGCCCAGAATTGAGTTCAAATTCTCAAGCTCGGGGAAACAAGACGTTGATTTTTGTTTCTGGGTGGCGTTGGAGGCACAGTGAATGCCCTTTCATTGGCTAGATAATTTGAAGTCGCATTAACAAAGTCTGTGTAAAGGCGTATTGAGAATACCGGAAAGTTAGAACTGCACTTAGAACGTAAGTGTATCTTTTAATATGTAACCGTTATTGATAGTTATTTGAAACTTAAATAGTTTCAAGTTTTAGCTAAATCCAGGGATAACGCAGGAGCCGTTCGGTTAACTGGTTTTGTAAACTGAAGTTTTAAGTAGTATTTCTTGGTCAAATTATCTAACTTACGCTTTTCTGTAATAATGGATTACAGTATGGGGCGAAATGAAACACTATATGAGAAAACACTGACTTGTGGAGAGTTTTCATACTGCGCTCGCTCGCTCTCTCAAAAAAAAAAAAAAAAAGGTATCAATCTCCATACACTTTCAGAATCTGAAAGCAGGGTGACCATTATTTTCAGTGTTGTAATCACTGAGTTAGGGGTTGCCCTGGAAATTTGAGCTCAGAATATCTGGGCTTATGTATCTTGATTTTTCAGAGGGGTAAAGTTAACTGTTCTTACAAAATAAGTACCTGGTTAACTGATTCCCAAACACGTTAAAAATGAAGTGTAGAGGAGAGCTTATAGGCCTATCTCAATTAATTCAACCGTGATATTCTCTGGTCACCTTCGGCTATGATTCTTTGCAGTATGCTTAGTGTGAAGATTAAACTAAGCACATCATGTATGTGGAAAGACAGGGAAAGTAGGAGCTAAGGATGTTCAGGTTTGAAGCTAGATTATGTTATGACTGGCTAAAGTCTAGATTTGGACAGACCATTAAGGGTTATTTTTTTTTTTAAGAACATAGTAAAAATCAGTTTCAGAGAATGATGCTGGCAAAATACTTCCTTTAAAATCTAACCAAATTAGTTTGCAAGTTACTACCAGTACGGAGTGGACCCTAGGAAGGGGATTTGTCAAGGACTCACCCCAAACTATGGACACCCTGGATAGCTAAAAAAAAAAAAAAAAAAAAATGAACAGGTGGTCCTAGAGCAAATTCAGGAGGTGGTGTTTCAAAAAATGACAAAATTTAAGCTATTGTTCTTCGGGCACATAAGAAGGCAGGGTCCTTTGGAAAAGACAATATTGCTGGTAAAGTAGAACCACAGGAAAAAAAGGAAATACGACATGGATTGACTCCATGCAGACACCATAGGCACGAGTCTACAAGCCCTGAGGAAAGGATAGGACATTTGTGGACATCAGAGTTGTCAGTAGTCACTGCGCGTAACATAACACACCATGCACAGCTATGTTGCTGTTGCAGTTTTGAAAGAATGGGTTTTTTTTTTATGACGGAGTTAAAGCAAACATCTTACTACTTTAATCATTCAGCAAGTATATTAAACGACAAACTTAAGTGCAACATTTCATTTTCAAACTTTAACCCCAACCGTTCGTTCTTGCCGCTTTTCCTCCTCCAGTTCAATAACCTTTGTGCCAGAAACCTGCTCTGCCAGTGATCATTTCGCAGGAAACTCGGCCGGGACACCTAAGGGGTAGAATCGCCTCGGGTTAATTCCTGGAGGGGCGGGGCCTCTGAGAGCCAGGGCGCTTCCCTGTGGGTGGGCGCTGGGCGTGCGTGCTTGCGTCCAAGGAAGGCGTCCGGATTGTGATGTGGTACTGCCAGCAATCCTTGGTATTTCCTGGTATTTTGTGCCCTGAAGCTGCGAAACTAGGCTGAGCTGGGGGCTTTTGGTCCCTGCGCACGCGCGCGCCCACGCCGCCCCGTCCCGCCGCTTGCTCAGCTTCTTTTCAGTCTCAGTGAGACTCGGCGTTATGGCTGATGCTGCAGTCAGGGCGGTTTTCCCGAACCGCCAAGTTTGCCGGCGCGCCCGCCTACCAAGTAGATAGCCCAGACCTAACAGGCCCCGCGTAGCTGACACAGTGTGCTGAACCTCGAGGAGGCCGCTTTCAGTAAAGCGGAGGTTGACTCCCGCTGAAGAAACGTTCAAAGCCCAGCGCCTGACGCCGCCACCCAAACAATGCCGACCGTTTATTGGCCTGGAGACGAGGTTTTGAGGACAAGCCTGCATTTTTAAACATTTTTTTTCTTGCCATCTGTGCTTCTATTTACGTGTTATTTTCATGTAAGATACTATTCTAGAAATAGTTTGAAAATGTCTTTGAATTATGTTCCTCTCGGAAAAGGATAATTAAATTAAGCTATACTGTCATCATCAATAACGTTAAGTTCTCAATAGGCTCATTATAATGTAGGTTATAAACAAAAACGAAGAATACCATAATGTAGTTTGAAGAACTGGTTCATGGAAAGTACCCAGATAGGGAAACGTTATAGATCGCCTTTTGGATAATATTACCGTTTGAATATAGACTAGACTTGGGATTTGTTGCCCTTTGGGAAGACGTTGGGTTGATTTTTTCCTTTATCACAAAACGAGAACTTTTCCCTTTGTTTCGTGAAAATTAATTTAGTTTTTTGTTGATGTTTGTATTAAAGCAGTCCTGATGCGTTTATAAAAGTAGAGAAAATAGGGCAAAGCAATAGGAAACAAAAAACACCCAGAGTCCCATTATCCTAACAGACCCAACATTAAGGTATTGGCTTATGTTGGCCTACTTCCATATGAAATGTTAAATTTTCTTGTGCTTATGTGTAAAATGTGATTGTTTGCTTTTTCGTGTGACATGCCCATCACTTTTTACATAATTGAAGTTTCAGTAAATACTTGTAAAATTACACGTGTTCCTTTCTTTTGGTACTGGTTGTGTAAGTCCTTTCAGTTTTCCACGGTCGTGTATGAGCATGATGAGGCAATATCTACAATCGTATTTAGAACATGACCAAGTCGGAGAGATCTGGACCTCATCACTTGCTCTGCAGCTTCAACTTATTTAACCTTTTTGAGCGTAATGTTAACACGGGTAGCATAAGAATAATCGTTCTCATCACATGGGGTTATTACAAGAATTAAATGAAATAATAAATGACAGTGTATGGAGCATGTATTGGTAAATACTAGTTTTGTCTAAATGTTTGTTTTAATTTGTTCTCAGATATTTTTGTGACCCATGTGGTTTATTTCCAAATTTCATATATAGTTAAATATGAATAATACCCCTTACTGGATGTAAGGGATACTATACATAGCTTTTTATACATTTTATTACATAGTAATAAAAGCATAATACATAAATTAGAAATTTTTTTACAATAAGAAAAATTAATATTGTCTATAATTGACTACCTGTAGATGAATTTTATTTACATTTTACAATAGGGCTTAGCCTTTGTTGTATATCTATACCTATACTAGTGATATTTTAAAAATAGGAGTGCATTGTAAATTCAGTTTAATTACTTTCTGAGTAGAGCAAAGAAGTCAGTGTGGAGAGCGTGCAGTGGTTAAAGAAGGGAGGAAAGCTGGGAAGAGAACTTACAGGATGTGGATTTCATTTAAAATTTACTGGATAGTAAGGCTTGCAGGGTCAAGGGATGGCAATTTGTTTTAGAAGGTTCACTTTGCTGTTGCATGGAGATAGCAGGGATCAGGGGAGGAAAGGTGGAATCCAGTTACAAGTGTAATTCAGTAATCCTGGTGAGTGATGTTAGTGGCTTAAACCAAGTGGAAATAGAAAAAGGGGTTGGATTCTGGATATATTGTGAAAGAACAAGCTGCAGAATTCACAGATTGCTTGAATGTGGGGTGTGAGAGACAGACTTAAATAGTTTGGCTTGAGTGATTGGATGGATGTAATTGCCACTTAGACAAAGAGGAGCAGATTTTAAGTGAGGGAAAAATGAAGTCATATTTCAGAACCTATTAGATGTCTATTGAAAATGGGCTCTTAAAGACCTGATATGTGTATTACTGAGTTGTACATTTCTACCTTCATTTCTGTGAGTTTTTGTTATTTTTTTGGTTCTCTGTTATTAGCTTCCTGTTCAATTAACACTTATTAAACATGTCCTTCCTTTTCTCTAGTAACATTTAAAAATTTTTTGAAGTTCATTTTGCCTGATGTTATAGCTTTCTTATGTTTGCTGCTTGCACAGTTTGTACTATTCAATCTAAAGTGTGTCTTCTGTAGACAGCACATTGTTGTATCTTGATTTTTTTTTAGTTTAATGATCTCCCTTTTGATTAGATTGTTTACTCCATTTATGTTCAATTTTATTGATATTTTTAGATTTATGTCTCTTATTTTACTTGTTGTCCCATATCTTTATGTCTATATTTTTAATCTATGTCTCATATCTTTTTTTGTTCCTCTGTTTCTTCTTTACTGCTTTATTTTGCATTAAGTATTTTCTACTGTAGCACTTTAATTTTTTAATCATTTTTTTTCACATTTTAAAAAGTTAATGCTTTACGGGTTGCTCTAGAATTTGCCATATACATCTTACTAGAATCACCTTCAGATTTATAACAACCTAATTCCAATGAGATTAATACTCCAATATAGTTTTATTGTTTCCCTACTTTTTTGTGATATAATTTTTATACATATTGTATCTATAAATGTTACAAACCCTTCAATATATTGTTATAATGATTATATCTTTTAAAGAAGCTGGAAGAATAAAGATAAGCAAGTATATATTTATAGCTTTTGTTTTAATTGGCCTTATTTATCATTTCTAGTTCTCTTAATTTCTTGTTCTTCAAGTTGCCATCTGAATTTCTTTAGCACAGTGCAGCTTTGTTTCTATCCACATCTGCTGTGATTTTATTAACAAATATTTCTATATGTTACATTTCTATATCTTACAGGCTCAATTATGCATTGTATGTATATATATATTGTATATATTTGCTTTGTTTCATGTGTGCATTTTAAAACAACTTTACTGAGGTACTTAAATAATTTTTAGCAAATTTACATGTCAACGATCAAAATAATAGTTTTAAAACATTTTTATAACTCCAATAATATTTTCTTTCTTTAAATATATTTTGTTGATTATGTCATTAGTTGTTCTATTTCCCCTTCATTCCCCTCTACCCTGCACACCCCTGCCCCACCATTCCCCCCCTTTAGTTTATGACCATGTGTCTCAAGTTCTTTAGATTCTATATTTCCCATACTATTCTTGCCCTCCCCCCTATCT